ATATATATATATATATATATATATATATATATATATATATATATATATATATATATATATATATATATATATATATATATATATATATATATATAATAGTATATCTTTCTCTTAAATAAAATTTAATTAAATATGATGGTGTTATTTCTAATATGTAACTGTTAAGCGAAGGATAGATATTTGTGGAAATCTCTTTTAAGAAAAGTATATTTTCTTTTATATTAGTTCGAACGCGTTATAGACTACTCGTACAGACAGACGAAAAACGCACGCCAGGTGTTTCTTTGTATACTAATTAAACATTAGTTACATAATATCGTTCATGTTAAATGCCACCAGTCATGGTAAGCGTATCACATTCGTCATTGCCATTTTCAAGAGAATTTTAAAAGGAGGAAGTTATCAATTCGTTTGTTTTTTTTTTTTGTGGCAATATTACGCGATTATGTTACTAATAAGTTACCAATTAATTCGATAACTTTTTTTGTATTCGATAGTGTTCACTGCCGTGAATAGCTAAATCTACTCATAAACAACACAACTCCATGTTCTTAATTTTAAAAATTGAAATTTAATGTAGGTTTCTGTGGAATTTATTGTCATTCATTGATTTGTTTTGTTATGAAGTTGCTGTTTTTAGGGATCCGTATCTCAAAAGGAAAAACGAAACTCTTATAGCATTACTTTGTTGACCGTCAGTCTATCAAGATCCATTTTCTGAGGAACGTGTGAGGAAGGTATCAAGTTGATTAATATCAAATATTCAAGTCGGCCGTATATTTGGATTCAAGTCCAAAGAATCCAAATATACGGCCGTTAATAGCGCATATTTTGACATTTGCAAGGGAATTAAAACCTATAGCATACTTCCCATTATCTTACAATCATGAAATTTGGCAACAAGCAATGTCGTACAGCACAATTAAAGAGAAAAATCTGAAGACCGTAAATTTGCAGCGAGATCAATTCCTTTTTCCAATTATAATTTATACGGAATTCTCGGTGTGCTAGTCTGTTTTTTTCGGGACAAAATGCCCTTTTTTTTAACAACGGTCCACTGAATTAATATATTTTGTCGAGTCGTGGAATTTGAATAGTAATGACAAATATGACTATTAAAAAGTAAGAGAAATGACGAGAATTCTAACTATCCATAGTAAATCCGCGTTTTATGCCATACTTTCGTTGGGAAATGTGGTCAATAAAGTTTAAATAAATAAATATTTATAATTTAGAAATTCTAATGGAATTGTTTTTGTATTTCGTGTGAAGATGTCCGAGTAGGAAAGTGTGCGAACTCATTAGACGACAAGGTCACTAGAGGCGTTCACTTTCGCTGCTACGATGTGGTAGATAGGCTTACTTTATGTACGTTGTGTTCACTCACAATTCAGAGAATGTATGAAGGTCTCCATGGTCGCTAACCATAACATAGTTAAATATAAAGTACAAATAATCTGTGCCCAATTTGTCGGTTACATTTGCCGAGTAAGGATGACAGATGGGGGCGAAAACTTTAATAGTGAATATCTTCTATAGAAATCGTGTCATAGGTTGATCTCCCTTCAGATGAACTGAGTTTCTTCGAAAATAGTGCCAAGTAGGATACAGAAAACACGACCGCATTACTCAGAAGCTATTGATGAGAGTCTATAATATATATAATCCAATAGTTATCGGAATAGGCTTATGATGATTACGATAATGAACTTGTGCTAAATAACAAACTATAGTTGAAAATCTCGTTCTACAAAATAATCTTGACAGAATAGGTATAGTATAATAAAAAAATAATTATCGAAATAGATTTAGAATCGGCTATTCACACAAAAAATGCAATCGAATTGAGAATAACTTCTTTTTGAGATCAATTGAAATTTATGAACTCTAATAATCATTTGTGCAGCGAAAGACTACATAAATGTGTGATGAAAGATGTAAAATGTAGAGGAAATGTTTTTAAAATAAACAGTATAGACTAGTTGTATACACAGTATTACAGGGATTTGTAATTTACTGAAATATAAGAGAGGTTATGCTCAACTCGTTGATAGATGCACTTTGAAATCGACAGAAAATGTTCATTGCTTTCACCGATGTCCATCGCAACAATACAATGCCAGTATGGTGCCAACGCGAATCAATTCATCATTGTTTGGCTGCTGACGTCAATTTATGTCGTGAAATGTATCCAGAGGCCTTCACCATTACTTCTCTCAAGTTGAGTAGCAATCACCTGTTGCTTTGCGTACTGGTACACAAATATAATCTTCATGTTTTTATCTACGAATCTTACTTTCTTTTGATTATTATTTATCGGTGTCGGTTCCCTCGGCTCATTCTCATTATTGACTCCACCAATGCTGTCTATTTGTTTACAACCACAAATAATTTTTTATATCAGTCTTAAACTTTTCTGTCTAAATTGTGAACTGAATTTTTGTTTGTAAGAATTATGACTTTACGCTGTATTTGCTCTTTTATTTTAATGAATTTAGTATTATGGTAAACACTAATAATGTAATGGTAATATGGTAATGCTTGTTTAATATTATATATTTACTTGGTTCTATATTTGCAACAAGAAATAGCACATACATATAGCTAAAACTGAGAGATTCTAATTGAAATCAATATGGCGCCAATTGCGGTTAAGTGGTATGACCATTGTTTTATTTTCTATTGCCTGTGTTCATTCACATTGTTAATTAACTTGTTTTTGCGTCTCAGATATTTCTATTGTAGAATATCGGAGACCAGATCTTAAAAAACAACAATTTTTCAATAATTGAATTGATATTATGCAACGAGTCAATATTAGAACCGCGGTGTGTTAAGTGTTTCTTACCTTTACAGCACGCGAGGTCGCTCTATAGGTGTTTATTTAGCTTTAGCTCATCGATTATGATCGTTTGACCTATATTTTTTTTGCTGACGTGAATGCGGTCATCTTTATAACTAAATCAACCTTCACGTATAACTATCCATTTGTTTCTAAACAAAACTGCGTAACGCAATGAAAGCTCGCTTCACTTTGATACGCAGTTTGTTATTATAGACTACGTTTCCTGTCTGGCTCGAAGTGTAAAATTGTAAATAATGGGTACGAAAAAACGAGTTATAAAACGCAATGTTGTGATGAAACTAAACATTCTTTTAGCTTTATTCCATAAATTTATTAATGCACAATACGTTGGTATGTTTAGCTACTGGCGATTACAAAGCATGATTTATATTAATTTAGTTGATCCTCAGGGATTTTGTTTATTTTTCTTCTGTTTACTTTTTGAGATTTGAATAATAGAGAATATTAATAAAAAATGCGTGAATAGTGGTTACTTACACTTAATAAGAAATTGTATAGAAATTCTTTTCAAAAATTTCTCGAGTTTAAGAATACGCTTTGAGTATACATAAATTATTTGATTGTCATAGTTTTTATGATATAAATGTATAATACACTCTTTTTTATGTGTCACTTGGTGTCAAATACTTACATAATTATGTTATTACTTGAAGGACGTGATATAACAGATAAGCGTCATTCTAATTATGCAACCTATGACTATTTGTACTCCTTTCTTATCGACCGTATTCTTAAATATACACTTCTCAAACCCTGTTTTAAATGTAAATACTATTTAAAGCAGAATCCAATGAACGTGTTCTCTCTTTCGATGCTTTTAATACTGTTAGCTCATCATCGACACATCTGTTCAGTAGGACGCAACATATGCACCATTCCCGATAACGTTCCGAAAATAAACAATGTTAATTCGTTCGCCACTCACGACGTGTATGGAATGTTCACTCTCAGTGCCCACTCCACACATCAACTTCCTATACTTTCTTGGTTGAATGAATAGACGACCGTGTTAGGTGCGCGTCTGGCACTTAACTTTGGTGTTGTGTTGGATGGATCTTTGTAATTGATAGTTAAAGTGGTGATAAAACTATTTGGGGTCGTCGGCCGCTTTCTCCAAGATGTTGGTATGCGTAAATGTTATGTCATGGTACCTGCTCTCTGTCCGCCGTAAACGTGCTACAAATACGAGGAGATTAATAAACATGACCGCGACTGTGTTAGTGCTTAGTGCTTTAGAGTTATACGTATGTTTACAGGTATAACTGTAACTATTCACATTGTTATTCTTAGCCGCAATACCTAATACGTGGTGCACTCCTATAAGGAACTGCTTTAGGAATCATCTATTGAATATAAAGCGGTTATGGCTTATAGACGTTATTCGCATATTACGATATGAAATAAACATTTGCCATAGTAATACATAAAATGTTAAAAATTTTACCTTTACATTTAATTATGACGCTCATCGAAATTACGTCTGTTAGTTCAAGTGGCTTCAAAAACATGCAAATAAAAATAATATGAGGTTCCACATTCTCAATACAAATTAATACGTGTGTACTTGGCGCTGTCAATTCGTTTGGCGTCAACTCGGTTGGGTAAATCTTTGGCCCACTAAGATCATTGTTTACTACTGTTTCGTAGTTGAGTTTTGGCTGCGTAATCGAGGTGATCCTTATTCGAATGGTATGCGAAGCGGCGTGCCTACACGGTTGCGTAAAGCAGTCTGCTGTACAACAGCCGCGAGGTTAGACGTGTGCGTACTAACACCACGTCCGGTGCTTTAATTGCTCGTAATGATATGTTGCGTGGCTGTTCGCATTGTTCTAAGTTCTGACACCGTGTGGTGCTCAAGCGTAACCATCATGTTTCAGTGAGCGAATAATTAAATAACGTGTTCTGTGCCAAACCAGTGATTGAGTTTCGGAGTTATTGTTTTAATTGACCAAATGGTCAGGAAAATCATTGTTGTCGGTATACAACATTATGAAGATCCTTTTTATAAGTACGTAATCTTAGAAATAACTATTCCATTATACATTTATACAAAGCAATTCACATTATTACACTTCGAGGATGAGATACATAGATTTTTATAAGATTTATAAATGGCATTTTCTTTTGTCCATAGACATGTGACGGGCGCGAGCGCGCCGCCAGCGGGATGCGGCCATCAAAGGAACAGGTCCTTGGACTCTGTTCTGCAAAGGATACCGGAGGACATGACACCGACGTCGCCGGAAGGCGCACCGCTTCGAATTCCAATCGAAGCTCCTGCACCCAGGTTGGCTTTACCACCTGAAGTTCCAGCTGGTTCAGATGATTCAGGAATTCACACCCCACCTGATGGTACTGATGAGGAGCGACCACAACCACCGGCCGCCGCACGATCCAGGGAGAGTCTTGATTCAGGGAATCCAGAAGACACAGAGAAACCGCCAGATCCACCTGATACAATTGTCGATCCTCCTGCCAAATCGGAAGTTTCTGCCGCGGACACGTCGAAAAACAAAGACTTTCTATTAAGACTATTCGAAAGTAAACTCTTCGACATGAGTATGGCCATCTCATATCTGTTTAACTCAAAAGAGCCCGGCGTCCAAACATATTTGGCTAACAAATTATTTTCATTCCCTCACGAAGACGTCGACTTCTATCTGCCCCAATTGGCGACGATGTACATAGAAATGGGCGATGTAGCGGACGTGCTTCGACCTTATTTGGTGTACAGGTGTAAACAAAGTGCTGAGTTTTCGCTACGACTAGCGTGGTTACTGACTGCGTTCGGTGGTGATGCTAAACGGTCCAAAGCTACGAAATTGAGAGACTCCATATTGGCTGAGGAGATTAGGCCTGCGGCAAGGAGAGGGCATCACAGATCACAGTCTGACGCATCCGCGTTGAGGCTAGCAACGCCTACAGCTCGGCATTTAGGCGATTTAGCTTCTGGACGTGCTTTTGACAATGGATGCCTTTGTGGTGAACAGTGTTCGTGCGGTGCACCAAGATTGGCCCCGCAAACACAAGTAAGTCTTATTTCTTTATTTCCTTTATCTATTTTTATTGCAGTAAAATTATCTGATTATAAATTAGATGTAGCGTTCATAAAGTAATGATAACAAAATATGTAAATAATGAAACAGTATCAATCATAACTGCTTTCATATGTACAATCATAAGTACTGTACAAATGGTAATGAAGATATAGCTAAGCATTCATTTTTATAACTATGACGTACTTTTACTGATTTATAATGTCTGTCTATATAAATCATACTAATGTTTATTGAAAGAATATTGTTTTAATATTATAGCTTGACAGCATTTAGCATATGGTTTATACGTCCGTTATACGTACGTTAATTGGGATAAAGGTAGGAAGCTGATGACGGTTTATACAACAATAGAACTTAGAGGTGTCGATATTTAGGATTTTGATTTTACTTGTTTTTACTAAAGATCTCAACCCATATTTATTTCATTAATTTTCCTAGACAATTTTTTTTTTAAATTTGAGGTATACAAATATTAAGATAAAATCTAAACACGCACAACCGATGTGTATTGAAATGTATATTAAGTATACTTACAAACAATCAATTTCAGCTTCCATTGATTTGAGTTGGTAAATATTGATTAAATTTCAGTTAATATAAATAAATCAACTGAAATCGAATTCCAAATAAGTTAGCTATATTATGGACTAGCGGCCTGTCCCGGCGTCGCACGGGTAGACATTTTTAACATTTCCCTTCACTGCTCTGCTCCTATTGATCGTAGCGTGATGAAAAGTATACTTTAACCTGCCCAGGAGTATGAAGAATAATTGTACCAAGTTTCGTTAAAATCCGTCGAGTAGTTTACAGACAGACAAAAATTTTACTGATTGCATTTTTGACATCAGTATCGATCACAAATCACCCCCTGATAGTTATTTTGGAAATATATTTCATGTACAGAATTGACCTCTACAGATTTATTATAAGTATAGATTTTTACAACTCACATTTACAATATTTGTGTATAGACTTTGTGATTTAAAAATTAGATCTTATAGTGGAAACGTTTCTGTTTTTTTCCTGCATAATATTCACATATCATGAAGTTTCTAATGTGCTTACAATTTTATATATTTTAATGCAATAGTTTATTTTTAGTTATATACGCCTAAATTACTCATAATTTTCGTTGGATTCTATTTCTTTGCTGCATTATCTACGTTGAAATGCTTGGTAAATTACATATTATGTATTTAGGTTCACATTTCGTAATCGAATAACTACATATATTATCAGATTTCTACTTTGGGCCCGCATATTTTAATAGTTATACTATGATATATTTGGAAAGTTTTCTAGTAATTAATTAATAATAATGGCAAGGTTTTAATTTATTTTTGATAAAACATCTACTACACTACTAAGTTTCCATAATAATTCGGTGTAATACTATTTTGTCGAGACAATTTTTGTATTTTTTTTTGTTTGTTATGCGATTACAATGCGAGTTCCGAACACATTATGATTTTTTTTTCATTCCTTAGACTTTCTTTTCGTTATGTTCCCTTGTTAATTGTATGATGATTGAATCTGTCGTTTTTTCTTTATCGAGATAACAACTTCTGTTTGTGAAGTTATATCTATTTGTAATAGACGATAGTATTCTAAATTCAAATATTCAATGTAATGTATGTTCGAAACGTCGTTCAGTTGTTTTATACCTTTTAAAATAAGATTTACAGCTAAGTGCATCAAATTTATAATAATTTTGACAGTTAACGGTTATACTAACTGGTTAAATTACCAGTTAGTATAAGCGACTAACTTGTCTATTTTTATATGCATGATCGAAAAGTTAAAGTATTTACTGATGAAATACAATTTTACTACGGTTACACTGACAATAAATCAGAAAAAAATACTTAAAATTTGTGTATCCGCGGTATTTTAAATGCCATGGTATCATATCAAAATGTTATTGAAATGGATGAAGTAACTCGTTTTCATGCTAAGTTACTGCGGCCTTACTAAAATTTTTTCAAATTTCATAAATGGTCACGAAGTATATTTACAATTTTCTTTTTATGTTACAGATTTCAAGTAATTTTAAAGGAAGAAAACTTGTTAAAAAAATAACGTAATATTTGATTATTAATAAAATAATAAAAAATCGAAACAGAATAGAAATTGTAACTCATAATAAAAATTTCAGGTAATATGTATTTTTTTTGTCTCTGGTAAATACTATAAGAATTCGTAAATAATACTCGTGGATTTATATTTGATGTTAATTTAATAGATAATGAGACTAGCCAAAAATTATAGTTGTCTGTTAAATTAAATATCAACTGTAATATAGTTGACACGTCAAAATTTTGATCTTAACCACTAATTTAACCATTGACAGCTGATGTTATAGTTCATAAATTTAGATGCAGTATAATTAATTTCTGTTAGTATAATTAATCAATATTAATTTTGTCGCTATTAAAGTCGTCTTTTTTACGAAGCATAATTTCTAGTTTTAGAACTTTTATGATACGATTGTCTCTGTCGAGCACATTACGGGTCGGTCCTTGACTTTTACTTCTGCCGAAAAAATGCTCTTTTAATATTCTATTTTCCGCATAGTGACAAAGCCTATCGTCCCACCATCGTCTGGGGTGCGGCGTCAATGTGTCTGCGGGCAATTGCTACAGTGCTTTGGGCACAAAATTAGGGCATGACTAAACAGGGCACGCACCCTCTAGCTTATTATATCTACAATCGCGTATAAAAGGTCCAACAGCCGTGACCTCTTTAGTCATTATTAAAGCTAAGTTGTTGTTTTTATGCGACTTCTACAAGTTCTCAGTTTGTATTTTGTATGTAAGCCAATCTCGCAACGTAATCCGTTCTGTACCTTTTTCGATAAGTCCTTTTTACAATAGATGCCACTCTCGTGTTGGTCTGATATTAATTGGTTGAAAAAGCCTTATGGTGGTACGTCCGACATATGTACAAAAACGTGTGCATGAAGTAAAATAAGATTCTCTTCCATAAAGGAAAAAACCGAATTCAATTGTTAAAAAACCAGTTATTTTGATTTAAAAACTAAACTATTAATTCGATTTTTATTACATTATATTATTGATAGGACTAATTTGTGAGTAAGATGCACTTGCAGATTAATCTGTTCAGATAAAATATTTTCTATTTAACATGTCTACGAAATATCTTGATATTTATTAGTATGTTTTGTCTCGATTAAAATAGCTTTTTTGGGGCAAAAATACCTGCATATTAGATGAGCAAATAAAATTATTAGTTAATAATCACACCTCCCCTTGGGGCTTACAAAAAATATCTATGTAGATTATTTGCATATTATCATATCAATGATCGGACTACTATAAATGTTGTAATACAGTAAATAGTTTGACACAACAAAAATATTCGTAATTCGATATAATATTGTATATTGTTGTATTACTTTGATTGTGTTAGATAATTAATGGAAATTTCTTAGAATTATCTATTGCTTCATGATTGTGTACATAGATTGTACGTAATTTGTTATTATACTATAGTTATATTGTTGTATGTATTGTTATGCTCTTTGAAAAAATTGGATGTTTTTTATCTTTTCATCAAAAGGTCGGTCGGTTTGATTGCTTTTAATCAATATCAGGGCTACCTGCTTGACTTTTATTCTTAGTACTTGGTACAGAAAAAAGAAAGTGTTTTTATTTTAGTAACAAAATATACATTCACGAATTCGTCCTTGAACAGCGTAGAGGCATCAAAATGAAGTATAGCTATAGTTTGGAAACTAACGATATTAAAACTTTAACAGAAATAGTATTTTTTTAAAACGTGAAATCAAGTTATTAGATATGAAAAATTAACATAGTCCAATAAAATAAAATATTATAATTCGTGACTGATACAATATGTATTCGTATTTATAATGCCATACACAATAGAGATATAAATAATGACGAAATAACATAATAGATAATATAAAGTCCTTGATCGGATTCGGTGCTGAAATTAGTGGAGTTCAACCACTGTATTAATTAATTAAGATAATATAACAGATTATAACAAACATATGATTGATCTATAAAAATAATAATAGATTATGTCACATTATAAATTTAATAGATTTTTATTGATTTCAGAATAATATTTTCAATCCGAATTTGTTTTTTGTGGTGTACATTGTAACCTTCCTTACTAGCTTAGGGATTATAATGGGAGTAAAGAGACTCAAGGGATATGGGATCGTTGTGTCTAGTTGTAACGGTGTCACCTTTCTGTTACATTTACCTGAACACTGACAGGTGTGCGTAATATTTAATCTATAAAAGAACGATAGAATAATACGCATATCCTCATAATGCTAAAGATAAGAGAGAAAGGATTGTTAGTAATGGAGACTATATAGGTCTATGGGTCTGCCCATTGCTTGGAATATACTATGTCAGGTCGATCTGTTCGCGATGTTCTCTCTTTAAACCATCGTGTTTTTTTTAATGGGTGAAGATGGAACGGTAACCCCGCCTACGCTATCAGTATACGCTGGCAGGGCACCAGTGAAAGGATGGTTAATTCCATGCGAATCATTACGATGGCCTAATTGACTTGTCTTTTTATTTTCTCCTGTCGCCGTTTACTGGTATTCCGCCATGGTATACCGTTAGCGCGAGCGGGTGTACCATTCCATTATAATCTATTGAAAAAAAAAAAACCTAAAATTACTTGCCAAAATATTAAATAAAATTAATAGTAAAAAAAGGAAGGGGAACTACGTGCTAACAATGGGGCAGTTACACCCCATTACTAATAATCCCTTTCCTCCATTATTCCCGTGTTAGGCCTAAACTAATTTTGTCTAGATTAGTTTTTTTTTTTTTTGTGTTACGTTGTCTTAAATTTTTAATAATTACATTACTAGGAATGGTTACTACATCAGTACCGCTAACATGCGTTACAAACTTTTTTAATTTTTGTTTACTAACATATTCATGTTAGTTTTTGGAGAAACATCTTAGTGATAAAATATTTAATTTTATAGCAGAAAATAATTAAGACGTTGTTTTTTTTTTACGCGGCAAAACGATCATTTATCAGCGGCTTTAATAGTTTTAATTTAATGTTATGACTAGGTATCTTATTAATTACTTTAATTTTACTTCACAGTAAAACCAATAGGAATCAGTTAGGTACATAGTAAAAACGATTACAATAATTAAAACTAACTGCTAAATTTATTCAACTGAACTTATTCTATTTATTTAATATTGTTTAATAACTATTAAAAAAACACCCATGAACAAGATGTTCCATAGATACTTTTATAAAATAAAACTGTTAGAACGCCAAATAGTTAAGTAGAAGGATTTTTGTATAAGGAAATTTGTATACCTCGATAGAGGGGGTTGATCATAGAGGACTTATATTGTTTTACCACCTATTGTTACCTATGTATCACAAAAAAAACCTAAACCTAAAGTTTACGCCGAGTATTGTGTTTTATTGGATGTAAAAGCCTGGATGGATTGGATGGTACAATATTAAATTTTATTAACGGACTAATCCGTCACTTGCGCACGTATGCCTTGTAATGTCTTATGTTTAAATGGATACATCTTAAATTTAAGAAATAGATCCAAACTAATGTTTCAATTTCATAATATTATATTTCGCATTTATTTTTAAATTTGAATGAGTTATTATTGTACCTATTGAAAGGTTTAAGAGAGATGAGGCAGACAATAGGCAATTTTGTTCACGGACTAAAATGTCCCTAACCTGTACAGGCCATTAATGTCTCTCTAAACGCTAACTTAAGAATAGTAGAAGATAATAAATTCTGATTTCATACTTTTACGCAATTCTTTATAAATTCCTACGTGTTTTTATTGCGTTTAAAAGTTTAGAATACAAGCGTATGGGTAAGTGTTGCAATAAAAAATATTTTTTTTATTAAAATGGCACGTTCTCAGATTTTTTAAAATTAAATACAAAAAAAAAAAACGAATATCAGATATTTTGTCCAATATTTAATATTAATTAAAACAGATTTTTAAGCTATTTCCAAAAGTAAGATGTTTTTGACTCCTTGGTATTTCTCAATCTGTGTTGTGTATATTTTATATGACTACGTTGTCAATTTTAAAACGTATTTGATTTTTTGCAATGAAATCAAAATAAATAATACACCGGTTTTTAAACTAGATCTTCAGGAAAGCAGAAATGAATACCGCATTCGATTTGGTGGAATAGTTGCGTGATGCTTGAATTGTAAATTGTATGTTTACAAACATATAAACAAATTTTATAAAAACCATTTCATCAATCAATAATTTCTCTCGTTTATAGATATCGTCTGGTTATAATTACCGTCTGGTTATAATTACCTGTAAATAAACATAGGCTGGTAAGCTCACTATAACCACTTTCCATCAGGTGGGCTGTTAGCTTGTTTGTCATTCTATTGTTCTGTATCCAGAATAAATGTTTTTTTTACTGGATTTTTCATATTTAAAATCCTTAGTCATTTTATCTCGTGAGAAGTTCATTAAATGTTTGTATGTATTTGTACGTACTAGCTGTATATATGTGTTATTGAATATGTATATATTTATTATATTGTAGATAGTTGAATTTAATAATCTTATCGTGATATAGTTGTTAATGTACGGTGAATACTATGAAATTGTGAAGTACATATTAGATATAAACAAATTAAGTTAACGTGAAAAGAGACTTGGTTAAGTGTATGACTAAATTAGTGTCATAGCAATAATATAATGATAACGTATACTCTGTGCGTTATATAAAGCTGCGAGTGGCAGTGAAAAATGTCATCTTGTCACCCGCAGCTGAAAAACTATATTAGATTTACCAGGGGGAGACTATAAAGGTCATGCATGGATGTCTCTCTTCTACCCATCTTTCTGCTATTAAGCAGCTGTGCTTACATGGTCGCGTTTCGGTTTAAAGGGTGCGTTTGGCGATATGACAGTGAAATCACAGGGTAAAAGGCAAGGGTGACATGGAGTACAATGGTTATTGCAGTGTAATCTGCGGTCTCCGTGGCATTTTTAATGTTAAGGCCACGATTTTCACTTCCCATCAATATAATAGCAATCAGCTTGTTTGCTATTATATGTGTCATAAAATATATATATTAAAATGATTATATACTGATACTTTCACAGAATCAAATGGATTTGATTTAATATTTTTATTTTTTGGTTTTCAACATGTCACCCATATCATATTATAATGCACGGAGTATAGTGTGTTAGTAATTCTTTCACGTCAAATTAAGCAACGAACTGACGTGACTTTTATTAACTACTTCTTCAAATTTAAAAAGAAAGAGGCATAAATTGTATTTTTATGTTTACTGTTTTATCTATTTTTCTTTTTGCAATCAATAGAGTTTATTATTAATCTACACGAAATATTTATTTATGACTTTTGATACCATGTGTTAACTGTGCTGAAACCCTTTCAATTATGTAAAAGCAATTATAAACAAATCTCTCTTGCGGCCTACCATCATATACATATGTGTAAATACTTGATCTCAGATGGAAGGAAAATTTATGCGATATCGACAGCTCCCAAGAAATTGATCTGCCATTTCACTAGTTCTATTTAGTAGTGTCGAATGTCGCAACACGTGTGTTCGATTCGAGTTCTTAATAAGTAGACGTACAACAATGTATGGAAATGTTATGGAATTCAGGATATTACAAAATGCAACCTATAAATATGTATTTCAAGCCCGTCATTACATGGCGACGAAGATTTTTAATACACTGTTACCTTTTATATTCCTGTGAGTTATACTCGTAGTTTATGGGTACTCATAATTTAAGATTTTAATGCTTATGATTCTATTTTTTGATAGCCGATCGTATTAGTAGGTGTTTGTTGACAATGTGGTGAACGTACCAATCGACAGCCCCACATTCGCCGAACATATTTAAATCCAACATAAAGAGGGGTGAGCTTACCGCTGTCTCTTGAATTAATTTGGTTTATTAATAGTTTTTTTCGTCACTGGAGAATATGACGAAAATTTTAATTGACACGTATTTTTTAGTGTTTGTAATGTTTTTTTCCCTAGGGAAAATACCATTTCTTTAAATGTTGGGAACTAATTACACCTGGTTAACGGATAATCTTAAGTTTTTCTGATTTCATTTGTGTTACGAATATTATAATTTTATGTTGAACGACATAGGGTCAGTTAAACTAATGCAATATTTATATAATGGTAAGTATACATTATTAAGATCTAATTTTGTATCAGTCATATTCTAATTCATACATAACCCTTGAGTTACGATAATTTTCTTAAAAAAAACCTGACCAAATTTGTATGGGATCAAAATACGAGTAGGTTCACAATTGGCAAAGATATCGCGTTATAATAGGTAGACAAGCGGAAAGCTCGCGTTAAAACTATAAATAATTGCAGGATAATTTAGCTACAAATTACTGTTCTGCATACCAAGAACTAAATGAGGCATACCATAATCGATAAATGAGTCATGAAATCTATTTTTCTCTTGGTGTTCCTTTTGCCAAGGTATCAGAAATCTTAAAAAATATATATGAATAAAATGAATGAAAGAAAAGTCGGTTTATAGGATCAAAAATGTCAATGAAATAACAGAGTATGGAGGCAGAAAACTTAGTCTTCAGGCCTTCAAGTAACACAAGAGACGTCTCATGAGCGTTACAATATATTCTTTGATGGTGATTCTGTGTGTTGTTGTTTAGGTTACTAATTTTCACCAGTTTTGCTGTTAGTTTATTTGTTATTCCAATTAATTTAAAAAGTAACATTGGTCTAATTTTATTAATTCAAACAAAAATCGATGTCAATTTTTTTTAATCCAGTCGATTTAATAATTTCTCTTTTTTAATGAACGGTAACGCTGGCGGGTCACCAGTGAGGAATGATAGATGGGAATGAAAAGGCACTTAGCCCATCGTGCACTTGGAATTTAGTACGATAGTTTCCAGGGGGTGACCACGTGAAGGTCGATCTGACAGAATATATATTGCTAGCAATAGGACTAGTAGTCCGCATTACTAACAATTCTAACCACCCCAATAATTTCTCTTAGCAGTGTGGAGACAGAAACATGCATACAATACTATATTCATAATAGACTAAACCAATGCTACTAAATTTCAATTTTCTAGGTTAAAAGGAAGTAAATTTTTCGTTATTTATGTTCAGTTAGTGTGTAAATTAGTATAAGAATGCAAGTTTACATGGCCAAATCAGTTTTAGCGCATAGTTAGACTCATTATTTTTTACAGCATTGTTAGACGGAACTGCTCTTATCTTATGGAAGGGTCTAATGTGATAAAGGATAGGCAAAGGTCTGTCGATATGGTATAAGTACATTTTTTTTTTGAGTTTTAAGCAAATGTTACTAGGATTTCTTTGTCTTATTTATTTAGTCTGCTATTAATAGATTTGTAACTGAGAGTAAACTGTCAACTACAATTTATCGAAATCAGTCCAGAATTGACGAAGATATAGCGTTACGTTCAATTACAAAAATAAAGGCGGACTGATAACCTCTTTCTTTTATTTTCTGTTTATTTTTTTATGCATATTATATCAATGCATGGGCATTGATATAGAAATTACGAGTATGAAATTAAATTCGATATTGAATACACTCTCACAGAAATTTCCAAATGATTCCCACTCTAATCAAATGATATGATTGCAGTTCCTGTCTGCGCTGACGAATATCGGCCGGCGTCTCGCCAGCGTGGCCGATAAGGAGCGGCGGAACGGCCGGCTCCGCGCTGAACTGGCGACATTGGATCTGAACCTGCCGGCGCGGGTGTGGCTACCGCTGCACCAGCGGCCTCACTACGTGCTCAGGATACCGCCACACGCGGCGGCCGTCCTCAACAGCAAGGACAAGGTAAGGATATCCGCCTCAGAATCTAGACTTGCTCGTATTTTCCTCTGCATAGACTTTTGATCTCACGTTTAAAAGTTCAGAATGTGATTTATCTGTTGTCAAAGATTTTTAACTGAGTAAGTTGTCATCTTCTTAATTTGTTTGTTTGTTTGTCTGGTTAGAATACTGTATAATATTTATTCAGATATCTAAAAAAAATTTAACTTTGTGTTTTATGTATACACGTGAGCAGTATTTATGATTTTATATATATATATATATATATATATATATATATATATATATATATATATATATATATATATATAATATCATACATTATTACATCTCCATATTCTGAAATGATAGGATTTTCGTCGTGCCTCCAATCAAACTGTTTATAATTACTCCTCTCCATCCAAAGGTTGCATGCAAGAGATCGCTTTTAGCAGTAGGACCACTCATTATTTTTTTTCTATGATTTCTTGTAATTGGGTGTATCTATAATAATAAGTTTACTTTTGTAATCTTTGGAAGAAAAAATAAAGAGTATCTACATATGTATCTATCTGTGTGTGTTATAAATTCAGTTCATTGGTTATATGTAACTAGTTGTAACCCTGAAATTTAACTGTGTGAATTAAATTGAATCTCCTTTTCATACTCTGTTAAAAATAAAAATATTACAATCTGTCTTGGAGACAAATTATCGCCCATTTTTGTGGTAATTTCCGGCAATTCCTTCTTGGTGTAATGTTCCACAAAGTACTATAAATTCTATATATCAGTACAGATTATAATAAACTCAATATTTATTTATTACATAATTTTTTTTATCATAATAAAAACTTTTAACATTTTAGTGAAGACAACCGTAATAATCTCCATAATACAGGATTTAAAGCCTTATAAAAAATTTCCAACGTTTGGTATGTGATTCTCGGCTCGAGCGGTCTTTGTGATATAGAATGCATGGAATTTGAAATGTCATAACTACCCCCGTCACGATTATCAGCTGCGTGTTTAATATACATGGGGGGTTTCTTTAAATACCTATAAATTGCGTTCCTCGTTAAGCTGGCATCAAATATTTATTTCATTTGTACTAGTAAAAATATCTATAATATATTAAATACATATAACTCGAGTTGTGACTGTTATAACGAATGTCTTAACAATTCATTAATGTTCTATTGTTGGATACGGCTCTTTTCCAAAAAATAGGAGACCGTAAGGTTTAATATAGAGTTTTTCTCTTTTAGGTGCTGGTGTGTAGTGCTTTGTTTTTTCGCTTTTTACGACATCCTTGGAATGAAAAACACGATGATTATATTCTTTCTCCGTTATCATACAGACAATTAGCATATCCCAAAAAATAATTCGTTGTATTCATCTCAGAATATTACATTGTAACGCTAAAACAGCAACCCGTTCTTTTTTCCGTTTCAGTAATTAGTTATAAGTATTGTGATACTTTAGTAATAATAGAAAGAAAACGGTGCAAAGTGACTGTCTATTGCTTTTACTGTTGAAATGTGTTCTTCTGTTTAAAAATAACAGTTTCTGAGAAATATACTAAAACAGTTAGTAGGAAGTACCGAAGCATGTTCGTAGAGAAATGTTTGATAATAAGGATTTCTTGTTAAATAGCTACATTCGTGGAACAGCAGTGTATCTACAATTAGATTTCAAACAATGTCTCAAATGCGACAAAATAAATATGAAACCGTCACGGGACTAAACTGTATTAATTGCAAAGGGAAATATCAAAGTCGATCCAGAATCACCGAAGATATCGCATAACATAAAAATTTGGAAAAAATATAAAGCCCTTTATTTTGATGTTGTTTGTTTCATTATTTTTTAAACCGCTATAATATTATTTTGAAAGTACGTAGTGTTTAGATGTTTGTTACTCACTAGCACAAAAAATGGATTTGCATGAAGGATGTTTATGTTTAGGTACAAAACAGAATTGTTTGTTACGGTATTCACCATTATCTCTGCCATTATCTGTCTGTTGCTGAACATAGGTCTCCTCCAAAGTCTGCCATAAGAAACGATCCTGATCTACTTGCATCCACTTACACCCTGCAATGCATTTGAGGTCGTTACTCCAACCGATGGGGGAGAACGGTTCTTGTTACGGTATTACTTTCCAGTAAATGTTCGTAAAAACTTGAACCTTTTGCAAAACAATATTTTAACTATTTGTACTAAAATAATGGATCGCCTTCTTTAAATCGACAATTTATTGAAAAAAGACAAAATATTGTAATTAAAATAAACAGTTTAAAATTGAGTTCCACAAAGAAAAATCGGCTTCAATTGTGGCAAAACCGATTATTTTGTTTTAAACTACTAATCCGATTTTATTATAATTTCTATGGGGCCAATCCGTAAATAAATCCTTTTAAATAAAAAAAAAAATCCAAATCGGTTTACAACTAACGGTGTTATGAGGTAACAAACGTAAAAATTTATAACTATATTAAGAATTTCCTTTTTTGAAATCGGTTGAAAAAGCCTTATTACACATTTTGTGTTTTTATTACATATTTTATGTTTTTATGAATAAGGGAAAAAGTCTTTGTTACTATTATCGTTTCTTGCCATTGAAATTCATGTCATATATCTAACAGCTAATATTAAAACGATTTATTGCCACGTTAAGACTCATAATGGTCCTAAAATATGTTTATTTAGACGTTCGTGGACTTAAATCACAATTTATTATCGTATAAAACAATTCCTGTTTATTTACACGTATTCTGGATTTCGGAGTATTTTTTTTTTTGTATTGTGATTGAAGAAACTGGCGGTACACAATATGTACGATTAATATCGTACGGCACGGTATTGTACGATTTTACCTACACGATATAGCGGGAATACAAAATGTATAAAATGGAGATGCTTTTAATTTTGCGCGTCAATATTGTGAACGTGTATGGAATTTTAAGTGTTTTGTGGGTTGTATATATTTTGCACGTAGCAATAAATCGTTATGGCGTACTATGGTAAATTTAAAAGTGTCTTTATTATCCGTCAATCACGTTTATTTTTTATGCCACAAAGCTGGTAAACAAACAGAGCCCGTCTGATGGTAACAGTCACTGTAGCAACTTGCAACTTTAGGGATGTTACTTGTGCGCTGCCGACCCTATTTCATGATACATAAGTGATAATTGGTAGTAAAAGTACACAATAAGTCCTCTATAAATAATTTCATAGGTATACATGTTAATACAGTAATACAATAGATAGTTTGTCTATACTTATAATAAATCTGTAGAGGGGTCAATTCTGTACATGAAATATATTTCAAAAATAACTATCAGGGGGTGATTAGTGATCGATACTAATGGCAAAAATGCAATCAATCAAATTTTTGTCTATCTGTCTGTATGTTCGTTATAGAAACAAAAACTACTCGACGGATTTTAACGAAACTTGGTACAATTATTCTTCATATTCTTGGGCAGGTTAATAGTATACTTTTCATCACGCTACGATCAATAGGAACAGAGCAGTGAAGGGAAATGTTAAAAATGACCATCCGTGCGACGCCGGGACGGGTCGCTAGTAGATAATAAATAGTAATATCATTAAACGATAAAATATAGACTAATAAAGATGAATTCGAAACTCGCACCAAGTTGTAACAATCTAAGCAACGACAGAACTATCTAAAGAATTTATATTCGAGACCAAGTATTCTAGATTTCTAAATAGATTTGAACTTGAAACAAATCCATATATCGTGGCAAATTCGACCTTTAGCTCAATGTACAAATAGTAATATAATAGATTGCAATGCACAATCGTTTCTGTTTCAACCGTATTCAATTAACAAAGTGGATAGAATAGCGAAGTGGGCCATACGGATATCATTAATGGGTTACAAATTAAGTGATTTAGTTATACGATAGCACGATACGATCGTTGACTATTCGAAACTAAATTAAGAAAACTACAAGCACCAAGTCAAGGTTTTTTATAAATGTATGAAAATATATAATTAAAATTACGATATTGTATGTTCGTGTTTATTATTTCAGATTATTGTGGTACATGCAACCTGTTAATTAAAAAATAAAACAATTTAAATTATTTAAGAAAATCATCTCCGTCGTAGTACGTACCTAATCTATATATATATAATAATTCCACTAGTATCTGATTAAAACTAATACATTTCACAGAATCACAATATATATATATATATATATATATATATATATATATATATATATATATATATATATATATATATATATATATATATATAAATATAAATGCCACTTTTCGTTGTAATTTTATAACTCAAGAACGGGCTCACCTATCCAAACCAAATGTTTAGACTTTGTTCGGACTATTTAGTAGATAGTTTATGTGAAGTTTGCACACAACAAGTAGCGAGTTAAGAACTAGTTTAACATAATTTAATGTCATTTTAACCAATGATCTGTTGTTCCGCAGGCACCATACATAATGTACGTGGAGGTGCTAGAGACAGATGGGCATGAGCCGCTGCCCCCTCGTCTCTTACCGCCCGCACCGCCCGCTCCACACTCGCCGCCAATACGGCACACGAAAAGCGAAGAGAACCTGGTGCCGGAATGGCCAGTTTGGTCGTTATACTCTGCTCTGGACGACGTAGACGCCGGCGACTGCTGGAGCCACGATGATGAGGAACTGAGCACGCAATATCCTCATAGAGCACCTGCACCGGACAGTTTGTCGCAGGTCAGTATGCCGCTAGTATTGCAGTCAGTTAGTCTGTGGTGGTGGTGGTGGTGGGGGGGGGGGGAGGTTTGTTAGTAGTGCAGACTACCAGTCCCATTGCTAGTAATATGCACTGTCAGGTCGGCCTCCACGTGGTCCCCCTGGAGACCATCGTCCTGAATCCCAAGTTATACATCGCGATGGGCTAACTGACCTGCCTTTTCATTCTCACCTATCACACCTCACTGGTGCCCCGCCGGTGTATATAGGTTTGTGAGTTTTTTTTTTATATAAAAAGGGGATAAAAATATACATTTACTGTATTAATCTCTATATAAGTGATTTAATATTTGATATTGAATGCATTTTATTGGTTTGTTATATGTACTTATATAGGCAACGGCATTGAGTTAACGATTAGTGAAGTGATGTTTGTTAGTCGACCTCCTAAATATTTACACGCGAGTTTTGCATGCGAATATCGTAAAGAGGTACTTATTACTAGAAATTCATATTTACGCACTTTCCAATTTCTAAACATGATAGGATAGAATAGAAATAATCATTATCCATAAGCACTTTTCCGAATGTTCATATAGAAGTTTGGCAACCTTTGTATTTATTGTTTGTCAGTTTTCAATATTTTTGTATGATAATGATTATATTAAAAATGATTTTATAGCGATCTAAAGTGTTAATTTTAAAGCAAGTTCCTCAAATAAATAAATTTTGTAACTATTACTAATATTGATTTCGCAGTTTCCAAATACTATTTTACCACCAAAATTTCAGTGATAGTTTATAGATTTTTAATCTTATTGTATATTAAACTTTTTTTTTCTCGAACATTTTAAATAATTCTTTAGTGATATTGAATCTTTATTTGTTTTTGAAAATTGATGGATGACGTTCTAAAGAGTTCTTAAATATATCTAGGTGTAAAATGTTTACACTTTTTTCTATTACATAGGTGTAAGAGAAAAAAAACAACACGTAACTCTCAACAATTCACGAATAGATAAAATGATATGGCTCACAGGTCTGTTTGTTTGATTCTATTTCTCAAGGTCTCGGGGACATAAAACTGGGTACGTGTAGCGTGGAAAATACAGAGTGAGCAAAAAGTTCATTTTTACGACCGTAGGCATACTGGAAGTCTGCGAAGTAGGTTGCGAGCGTACTAGTGTAGTATGTAGCTCAAGGGGGAGTTTATCTTGCTTTAAACACTGGATATAGGCTACGTATCAACTTTTATATGCCAAGTTTGATGAGCTAAATATTCAAAAGTATGGAGATAAATTCTATTGTTCTCACAATAGTCTCCTGAACGAGTTGTTTGTATCTTGTAATACTGTTGAAAGTGGGTCGTTAATTTGTAATTGTCTGATAAAGAAAGTAGATTACTTAATAAAGTATTTAATTATTATACTTCTATTTCCATATATTTACACTACTCTCACTGAGTTTTTATTAAGTAAATTTAAGTAAGATACCTAATGTTATGTGCCATAAAAATAGTTAATATTTTCTCGCAGTACATAGACATATAGTCTTTAAAGTTTCCTCCAAAAGATTTCATTTGTAAACTTATTATAAGTACAAACGATTACAAGATTACACTGAAGTATATGATTCGATAATCTTCAATAAATAGAAATGAAGTGTAAAAGTCGGTGTTTTAAAATAAATATTAATAGAATGAATTAACTGACAGTTTATAGACGTTGCAAGAGCGGCGACAATGGCGTAATGTTACTAATCCAATGATAAAATATTTATTTCACTTACATCATAGAAAACTGTTTTGATTTATTAAATTGTAAATAGTCGCCACAGATATGGTTTACTCGTATTAATATACGTGTGCATTTGTCAAGTTTTGGTCTAAAATTGGTTATATTAAAATTGATTTCAGCTTTTCCATAGTTTTCAAATGAATTTAAAAAGGGGTTTGCTATCAATAAATAGTTTTTGTAAACGTAAAGCAAGTAGTAGGTGGCACGTTTTGTTTTTAGTCACATGTGTAGTATATGTATATCTATTTGCGATATCTATCTCTGTCTGTGATGGTTATGTAATGTCGTCTGATATATAATTATATTCTCTCAATTTTAATATAATTTTATAATGTAATAACTAGATTAACTACCTTGGTCGAGAAAGCTTGATTTTCCTTATATATGTCTCGGACATAGTCAGGCTTGCACTCGCATCACAGCCGCATATGTTTAAGGGTCCCGGATGGTTCCGAAACTAGTCGAGTTTTCTCGACCAAATAACACATAAGTTGAACCGGTAGTAATTACATAATATAGTGTGCACTTACGAAACTTTTAACAATAATATTTTAATATTATTGTTAAAAGATATAAATTATAATGTAATAGTATAAGGAGTAGGTATCACGACGTTCGCAGCCAGCGTCTGCGCTTCACGCAGTTTGATCGTTCACGTATCACGTTGTGACGCACGTGTCTATGCGATCGGCCAACCGGCTTCGGGCGCGAACAAATGCCGAGGACAAGCCATTGTGTTCTCGATATCGACTCGAAGTCAACTCGACTCGGTTTGAGGATATAGTTTAAAATATGGTCTCACTACTGATTATTACGTTACTACCTGTTTCCCGAGACTTTTCTCGCTTACATTATTATATGAAGTATCCAAAGTGTTAAGTTGGGATGTGCCCGTGTACTAAATTTTATTCAAACCCGTTAAGCCGTTTAAGCGTAATTAAGTAATAAACATGCAAATATACAAATATCTTTATACACTTTTATCTTTATGATATTAGTAGGTTTAATATTGTATACTAGCTTTTACCTGTGCCTTCGTCCGCATTACTGTTTTAAAAAGTAGCCAGTATCTTTCTTCATACGATATAGTACATGTATACAAAATTTTATAGTAATTGGTTTAATCTTTAAAGCGCTATGAAGTAACAAACAAACAACCTTACTTTCACATAGCTAGCAATATTGGAATCATTAACAATTTTTTTAAGGAGTTTTCGACCTTTAATATTAAACTTTCCCCTAAAAGTTGTAAAACAACAACGAATTTTACATCTTTGTTATTATAGAAATGTTATTGAGATTGGAAAATTATGTTCCAATAATTTTCGTGTGATTGCAAACTTTCGAAGTGGACATAATTTCAAGCCGCACCTGTCATTATCTTATTATCCTTATGTTCAGTAAATATTATAAATGTGAACAATTTCCTATTACACATCGTAATGCAAGTTATAAAATGCACTATGACGTATATACAAGTATGTGGTAAACAATGTTCAATAACTATTAATAAGAATCGGAAATGTACATAAACTTTATTATTATTTGTATAGCCATTTACCATACTTTGTGTTTTCTTTACTATTATATAAAATTTGTATTGCTGTCAATGCAACTGTTGTTTGGTACTATAAATGAAAATTAACATTCATTATATCATACTTTAACTGTCCATTGCTGGACATAAGCGTTTCCCTTGGGTAGTTTTGCCAATGTTGCCATGTTGTTGATGTTTTAATAGGGACGCTATACTACTCATCCCTCACCCTCGTTAGTCGCCTCCTACGACATCAACTGGAAAGAAAGGGGTGGCCTATTCTATGCCGGGACTACACGGCCGCTCATGATTAAGGGTCACGAATTGGTTCCGCAACTAGTTGAGCTTTCTCCATCTAATTACACGTAAAAGTGAAACCGGTAGTTATTAAAACATAATGTGTGCTTAGGAAACTTTAAAACAATGAAAACAATGTATTTGTACTTAATAATATTATAAATGTGAAAGTCTGTTTGTTACCTCTCGTTTTAATAGCCCTACAACTAGTTATAAAATTTTTCATTGACATGAAAGGACATAGACTTTTTTATTTCGGTCAATCAATATGTATGTCGCTGTCACGCGAACGGTGTCGCAGGCGCTTCTAGTTTAAAATAAAGTAACAGCGCCACAAATGGGCAAACGGATGGTTGTTATATAATTACAGTTCCATCACTATTACACCACTGAAATATAGGCCGTCGATATTCGGAAGTTATTGGCTTTAACAATGGTCATTTGATGAATTAGGTCAGCCCTTACTTATCAAAGAATTCGACGCGACGTATGACCGCGGCTAGTTATTAGTATTAATGGTTTCGTTATTGATTGGTGAAATGTAATTTTTTTTTTAATTATCTACATATACCTTATATATTTAATGATCATCATCATTCTGTCGCTATCCTATACCATTTGGGAACGGCGTAATGTAATTTTCCATTCATCTCATTTTATCAGTCATTTCATATTTGTTTCAATGTGATTGTGGAAAGCTCCGGATAATCTATAAGCTGATGATCCCTATTTCTAATGATCTTTCTTTCCCGTGAGTGTCGTAAGAGGCGAATAATAGAATTTAATTGTCGAGGTATGGGCCAGCAGTGTTCCTTTTAAATCATCACCAAAGCCTAACTACGATTGTCAACCCGTCTGGCGCGGCAACTACTGGCAACCCTCCCCCCCTACCCCTATTGGGGAGGCTTATGTTCAGCAGTGGACAGTTAACGGCTGATATAGTCTGATAAATCCTGAAGATATTGTCTACCTTTAAAAAAAGACATTAAATACAATTATACATTTGCAACAGGTATCAGCTGTATCGGCGCTGTCGACGTCGTCGTGCGGATCTCGTGAGTCGGTTGCGGTCGGAGCTGGGGAGGTGAGAAGGAGGCTCGCGGACGCTACGGCAGCACCACCGCCTAACGCGTTCAAGCACGACCCAGCTGATCCATCGGCCACGGCGCTGAAGGTACGGACGGATGTATAAATTTCCTCCCATCATTCTACACCATATTGATACATATTATACTAGCGACCCGCCCTGGTTTCGCGCGGATACACATTACATCACGTCTCATTAGAAAACTTTAAAATTATGAGTGTTTCTCTACAATATTATGCATATTTTACATATATAAACCATCACATTATCTATAAAAAACCGCTACAAAATCAGTTGAGTAGTTTTAAAGATTTAAGCATATAAAGGGACGGACAGACAGCGACAGCGACTTTGTTTTATATGTATTTATATATGTAGTGATGTCTAATTTGTACAATAAAAATTTTACAATACAATTTTCTATAAATTAATATTCGCTTCGACTATGTGAATAAATGGTGACATGGTCTATATTCGGATTAGAAGCAAATGTCCCACAGTTGGGCATAGCTTATTACCATAAGAGATTTCTGTATATTACTTCTTTAGAGTGTCAACAGTTTCCACCCTCTTTAACCGACTTTAATAAAGAAGTAGGTTCATAATTCGGTTTTATTTTCCTATGCTTCTTACTTAACTCGGTTGTTTATGAATCAATTTGGAAAATTTTATCAAAATCGGTTCAGTAGTGTTTAAATAAAAATAACTGGTTTTGCCATGATTGAAGTTGATGTTTTTTTGTAAACAAAATTTTAAATTAAAAAAAATACCAAGTATTAAGGTTTTATTACCCTTGTAACGGAATGTTTTATTACATTCCGTTTATTTTTAATAGATTCGAGTGACAATTAGTGCCACTTGATATTTACTGAATTAGTTAAGTAATTAGTAAATTACTTATCGATCAATTACGTATCGTGTTGTAGTTATTTACTCAGTGTATCACCACTTCATTTTATCCTTAAGATGTCGTAATAGATGACTATCTGAACAAGGCACTTGAGTGCCAGAGAAGGGAAATTCTACTGATATTAAAAAGGTCAAAGTGTTTAAAGATGTTTGTTTTTTTGTTTAATCATTTTTATAACACTGAATAGATTTGTATGAAATTTGATACACGGGTAGATTTTATTTAAATTTAACGTATAAGGTATTTTATCAGCTAATTCTCGCTAGTAAAACTTGCGGAATGAAGGTAGTTTTAAATGGCACATTATTATCCTCTTATGAAAAGGCATACTTGTCAAACAGAAGCACATTAATGACATGTTATTTGTTAAGATAAACTATGTCTAACTATTTACCCACAGCAATTTTCACGAATTTTCTCCGCATAATTACTTTTCTGTTTTGCCAAAGGTTGACTGGGCAGGAATGTTGCATAGCATTACGCCTGTTTTTTGTTTCAAATATTTTTTGTAATGTTTAGAACAAAACGCAGTTTCAGAGATGTTTTCTCCTACAAATGCTCAGGTTATAAAATGACAGGGATGTCGAGGTTTTACCAAGAGACTACAGCATAGGGTTCTCTAAAAGAAGGGCAAAGAGGTTTCTTTTGGTTCGGCAACGCGCGCGTAATGCCCCTGGTATTGCAGGCGTTTATGGACTACGGTAACCGCTTACTATCAGGTGGGCCGTATGCTTGTTTGACACATCAGTAGAATTAAAAAGAAATGTGGGCAATACAGAATAAATAAATAAAATTGTAATTTCGAGTAGACAGCAATCTACAAAGGGCACCTGTCCACAAGAATGTTGTGACGTTAGTCGGGGGATTTGGTAGCGTTCCATATCTACATATAAACACTTCATTCATGTTCCTATATGTACTACCATTATTTATAAATATTTATCTATGCATGTATATTTATATTGCTCCATTGACCTACCTCCATTCTATTTCGGTATCAAAGGTGCTTTTATAATCAACTCCGCCGTGCACTCTTATTTTGTATATGCATGTATATATAATGAAGTTTCTCTGATTCACCTATCGAAGATAATTGTTCTGTGCGTAGTCCAAACAACTGCCACATCAAGCACATTCGATAAAAGATGTGACCCATGACTCTCATTACTATATAAACAGATTCTAGGAAGCACGGTCACATTTGTAACTCTCCAAATACTTCGTGACCCCTAGAATGACTAAAAAATTATGTATTTTCAGAATCGTATATGTTACAAGGATGACGTTTGTATTCACACAAATGTTTACTGAATGCGTTCCTTTTTCAAATTGTTACACTTGAGTCACATGCATAGACATGAGGGGGACCCCTCCTTCTCCTCCTCTCCTTCTCCTTTGTGTGTCAGTTTGAGAATGTGATATGAAATTATTATAGTACGATATATAGAAATGTAATATTTTTAATATAAAGTCTTTTTCATGGTGATCTAATAATTGTTGTATTAGCCGTTATTTGTCCACTGCTGAACATAGCCTCCCCCATGAAGGGGGTTTTACCTGTAGTTGCCGCGTTTGGCAGGCAGGTTGGTACCGTAGTTTGGCTTTTGATGATGCTTTAAGAGAGACGCAGCTGCCCATATCTCCACCAAAAGCTCCCTTAATCGCCTCTTACGACACCCGCGGAAAAGGAAAGGGTGGCCTATTCTATGCCGTTATTAATTCCCGGAAATAACCATGTAAATGTAGGTTCGCGCTGGCGTGACCACGAGTAACAGCTAAATTGTTATCAAATAATGTCTTATTGAGTAAGTACTTATTGAAATACCGAAATATGAAATGAGTCGGTGTGATGATAATATCTAGGCGTTAGTACAATTAGAATTGTAACACGTATATCTAGGTTACCTTTCACTTTTCAGTTGTTAGAGTAACTATATGTTAAACATACCAATTTGTCTAATTACGTACTTGCGAGCTTGTGAGCTTGAACGTTTGAGTCGTTTGTTAGCGCTAGAAGTGTATTAATGTATTTAACAATCAAATGTTAGCATTACATATTGGGTTCGACTCTGAGGTTTTCTAAACTTGTCTATTAAAGTTTTAATTTGATAATTTCGCAAAAATTTCTTCTTGATTGAATTCTTACTTAAAATCTATTGGAAATATAGTTCATATTAGTACAAAGAATAAAGATTTCGCTGTGGTATCAAATATAAATTTTAAAGATAGGTTTAGAGAGTTGCACCTCAGAATTGGCCCCATCGTGTACAAAACTCTCATATTACTTTGTTCGCCTGACACAAGATACAATTATCCTGTTTTAATCTAGGATTTGTTCCATCCATGTTTACCAAATTTAATTCAAACCCGTCTAGCCTTATAAGTATGATTGTGTAAGAAATATCCAAACATCTTATCAACTATTTAAACAATATTATATTAGCAAAGATAAAAACATATTAAATAGGTATTTAGTAAGAGTGCGATAACATCTACTTATTTTTTTACGAATAAAGACAAAATTATCATAATTAAAAGTGGTTCTTAATTAGCAAAAATGGCGCGTAACATACAAAAAATATAGTTGAATTATTTTATCTCATAGTTTAAGGAACTATTTTATCTGTAAAAATAAAATTTGTCAAGTAGGATTTATATCTGACATAAGTATCCAATAATAATAATCTGCGCAGTCGTCGGACGTTTTGTTTGCGTCTTCCGCCCAACCCTTTAAATTTAACGAGAGTATCTGATTATCACTGAAGAGAAATGTCATCCGTGGTTTTTATTATTTATTTCTTTAAATAACTTTATTAACCAAAGCTGGCATCCAAAAAACTCGGTGTGCTTAATAGAGCGAAGCATTACTTCACGCCGGATCAGCGATTAATGCTCTACAAATCGCAAATTCGGCCCCACATGGAGTATTGCTGTTACTTATGGACGGGAGCACCTAAATACCAGCTCGAACCCTTCGACATGGTACAACGACGACGTACGAGAATTGTCGATGATCCCAGGCTTACAAGCGGTATCGAACCCTTAAGTCTTAGGAGAGATTTTGCCTCACTCTGCGTATTCTAGCGCTTGTACAACGGATTGTGCTCAGAGAAATTGTTCAGTATGATGCCCATAGCCAATTTCTACCATCGTATGGCTCGCCATCGACAGAGAGTTCATCCTCATATCCTATAGCCTAAATGGTCGCGTACAGCGCGGTTTCAGAGATGTTTTCTCCCACGAACACTCAGGTTATGGTATGAGCTCCTTGCCGAGATTTTCCTAAGAGATTACAGCATGGGGTTCTTCAAAAGGGGAGTAAAGAGGTTTCTTCAAGGTCGGCAACGCGCGCGTAATACCTCTAGTATTGCAGGTGTTCATAGGTTACGGTAACCATCTACTATCATCATCTACATCTATATCACCATTACTATCAGATGGACCGTGTGCTTGTTTGCCATTTCAGTGGTATAAAAACAAAAACATAAATAAAATATGGCACAAAAGGCGTACTTAATGCTCCTAGCATTCTCTACCAATTAACCTTTGGGATGAACAGTGAATCACGAATGCGGTCCTTCATTATTGGGATATGTAATAATAGTACTAATGGTTTAGTAATTAGGATAGGAAATAACGGGTCCTACGCATGAGAAGCCGCAGGAATCGACTAGTGTGATATATTTGGACTTTGATATGCGCAATGAATATTATATTACATCCGGAATACAATAGTAGTATAGCTTCAGTATATTTATGGTTACTTTGATAAGTTAAGATAAAATATAATTACCGTACAAACACACATGGAAAATAGATCTTATTTACTACATTTTAGTATATAGTTTTAAATGATTTTATTTTATAATTTTTTTTTATGCAACTTAGAATGGCAAACAAACTGACGGCCCACCTTATGGAAAGTGGTAACCGTCGCCTATAGACATGAGCAGTATCATGGATATAACAGAGTACTGTTTCGCCCATGATGACCCCATGCGTTGCCATTCCTGAGGACTCAGGTGTTATTCCTCTGTACCCTGTAACTGCCTTATCCCACCCTTTAAAGCGAAATACAGTCATGCAAACACAACTGCCTCAACTCAAGCAAACGACTTTTGTACAAAGTTTCCCTCTGGTAAAAATTATAATAGTTTAGTGTCATATACTACTATTACTTTAATGGCCAATTATGCGATTAATGTGTTTCAAAAAGAACATTAGAATATACGTAGTAATGTTCTAAAAAATCCGATCTCTGATTTCATTTCTCAGTTAGGGTAATTAGTGAAGTATACTTTTTAAATTAGTTTAGTGGTATGGTGTTCCTTAAATACAGACTAAACATTTGCAGTATGAGGACGCATTAATCGGTAATAAGTAATACTTAATCGTATTACTTATTATTGTTAGTATCAGGTTTTATTAGTAACTTTGTCTCTGATCTACGTGTGTACATTCCATATATAAAATTTTGTGATGATTAGTCGATACGTTAAATTAAACAAATAAACAAGCTCACTTTCATATTTATAAATAAAAGTGTGGTTAATTATATCAGATATTAACTGTTCACTGCTGAATATAAGCCTTGGGGGGTTTTGCCAGTAGTTGTCACGCTTGGCAGGCGGATTAGCAATGGCAGTTAGGTTTTACAAATGTTTTAAGAGGGACGCTGTTGCCCATCCCTCTTTTAATAGCCTCTTATGACACCCATGGTAAAGAAGGGGATGATCTATTCTATGCCGGGACCACACGGCCACGCTAATTATATTGGTATAAAATTGCCATTGATACATTCCAAAGAGGTGCCCAAGGAAGTGACAATTTAATATTAAAGCCCTTGCCATGGTAAGAAGTTCAAAATCTTCCTTCCAAAACCGCTTCATAATAAACTAATTTGTCATTACAATTTCAGGAATCGTGGGAGAGTAAATTAGCTCGCATGCGATCCTCTTCACCTTATGGTTCGCTTGCTGGCTGGCGTCTCCTCGGCTGCATCGTAAAGGTGGGGGACGACCTTCGGCAAGAGATGCTCGCGGCACAACTCCTCAGGAGGCTGCAGGCCGTGTGGGCACTGGAGCGGGTGCCGTTGAAGCTGCACCCGTACGAGATACTTTGCTTAGATAAGGAGTGTGGACTTATACAGCCGGTAAGTGGAGCAAAAAATTACTTAAGAAGTCTTTTTTTTATATAAACATGGGGGAAAACGAGCATGTGGCTCACCTAATGGTAAGTGACTACCGCCACCCATGATCACCCATAATTGCCTTTTAAAAAAGGAATATTTTTTTTTCTCGAAGATTATGATGTCGTATCATTTCGGAAATACTGCTTGCTGGAAGTTGATTCCAAAGAGTGTTTGTGCGTGGAAGAAAGTGCTTGGATTATTTATTTATATTACTTTACTACTATCACTAAGTATTTACTATTTATATAAATAAATAGTGGATACAAATGACAAGTTAGCTTTTTTATCTTCCTCAGTGAAAAAGTAAATATAATTTTTTCCCCCAAACTGATTTGGATTCACTTATAATCATTTTTATTTAAAAACACGATTTAATATTGTTCATGGAGCCCTGACTTCTAAAATAGGTCTCTGTCCATCAGTTTCTTTTTCACGACGTATAATTTGAACTTTCCTTGGTGAAATTTGTTATTGGCACATCCATAATCTTGGGGAAGGATGTAAATATAGTCTGCTTTTTAAAATCGTCACAAGTTTTACTATTTTTACACGACAGAAGCGCTTAAAAGTGAGCAAATAATCCTGTACTAATAATTAAATTTTGGCAGGTGTTAAACTCAGTATCGCTCCACCAAATCAAGAAACAGTCAGGCAAGTCGCTCCGCGCTTGGTTGGAGCTGGAGCACGGTCCGCCCAATAGCGAGGGTTTCCTTCGAGCTCAAAACAACTTCGTGGAGTCGGCGGCCGCGTACGCTCTCACCAGCTACCTACTGCAGTTGAAAGACAGGTGGGTCTTGGCGTAGCATTTCCAACAAACAACTATCACACAGAATATTTTCTCATTACTTAATTGTGGAAAAAGGATCGGTACGGATTTTTATCATGATGAAGTGCTTTTATTTTACATGATGACAGTATGAAATAAAGTTTCTTACGCGATTTCGTTTGCGTTATTAGAATGTTTGCTGATCGGTATAAAAAGTAACCTTATGTTTATTTACATCCCATATAGTATATTTCCAAATTTAATAGGGATTGGTTAAGTCGTTAAGGTGTGTATTGTATTTTATAAGGTAACAGACCCACTCAGTTTTATAATATTAGTAAGGATTATTTAAACTCTTGTAATTTGTTCCAATGCCCATATTAAATTGTTTTTGATTATTTATAAACGCGATTGGTTTTGAAACTTCTCCCTCAGGTGTATTTTTGTACTTCTTTCTTTCTTTCGAAACAATTTGTGACTTTTTTGTGCTGCATGGAATGGTATACAATCTGATGGAAAGTGGTAACCATTGCCTAAATGTCAAACCTTGATGTCACTATCTCGTGTATTGCAATATCATGTTATTTGTATACCATGATTTAGACGGGACTGCATTGTTCATTATAATATTTTGTTTCCAGGCACAATGGGAATATTTTATTGGACAGTGCAGGCCATATAATACACATTGACTTTGGATTTATATTCTCAATATCGCCTAAGAATCTTGGCTTCGAGAGTTCGCCATTCAAGGTAAATAAAATTTTATAATTCCACTCTTGTTTACATTTCGATAAGATTTTGTTTATTATTCTACTTTCTACTATAAGTACGAGATACATATATCTATATTTGTTATCCAATTTTAAATGATTGAATTTAATTTTAGAAAACAAACATATTCCATAAATTAAAAAGTATATTTTAAAAAGCTTTGTCACATTGGCAATTTACATGGGTTAAGCTGCGGGTAAGAGTTAGTCTATTTAATTGAATTCTAACAGTGATTGACTAAAAAACAATGCGCAGTAAAATATGAGAATTTGCACAGAAATTTCATATATTACGTGATTGCATAACTGAAAATGGAGATTATTATTAAAATTTCATGAAATTCCCACGAAATGGGAAAAGAATGAGGTCACAGAAAGCGACTGGTAATGGCTATGAATACTTACTATTGGTATATGAAACTTTGGAATCAATATCCACAATCAATTATGCAGTAGAGACTTTAAAATCTAGTCTTATGATCGATTTTTACATGCACATTAAAAATCTAGAGTTTTTACTGCATGCTATAATTTTAGAATACTATTTAAAACAAAACAAGTTCTCCATTAAAATGCCTTTACAGCTAACGCAAGAATTTGTGGAGGTGATGGACGGCGAACAGTCAGACATGTTCCAATACTTCAAGATTTTAATACTGCGCGGACTCATAGCGGCGAGGAAACACTGCGACCAGATCATACATATCGTCGAACTGATGCGAATGGGTGAGATACACAATTACATAATAAATATTTTAATATTACCTATTTGAAATATACTATTATTTCAATAAATCGCCATGTGGTCCCTATAGAATAGGCCACCCATTCCTTTCCCGTGGGTGTCGTAAATGGCGACTAAGGGAGGGCGAGGGATGGGCAGCAGCGTCTTTCTTAAAATGTCTTCAAAGTTTAATTGCGGTTACCAATCCGCCTGCCAAACGTGGCAACTACTAGCAAAACCCCTATAGGCTTATGTTTAGCAGTGGACAGTTAAAGGTTAAGAGGTTGTGGGTTCCGGGCGGTAATCACTTACCATTAGATAAGTTGCATGCTCGTTTGCCTCCTATGTCGTTCAAACAATTGGTTCAGAATTCTTCTTCCTACCCTTAATCCCAGCACTATCTGGGGTCGGTCTTTTGTACAGCGGCGTCAGGATGCTCTGGCTTGGGTTATTATAGGAGCTAGGTTTTATGCTTTCTTCTCTTTCTCGATATTGGACCATCAAGTGGTGGAAGGACCTTCTTTAAAAAAAATATGGTTCAGAATGGACGTAACAAAAAAACCTTCCCAGTAAAAATAACCATCATTTTAAAATTACTTAACCCCTCAATTATTCCCGTTTATGCATCATACGCTGTACCGAACAAAATTGTGGTACCATACGCTAATGCAACAGCGTCTGTTCCATAACTCGAATTTGCAGCGTCGTTTTCATTATATTTATGTAGGTCATTAATTCATGTAGGTAATAAACCTATTTGGGGGGAAAGGGATTGTTAGTAATGAGATTTAACAACCTCATTGCTAGCAATACACCCTACCAGGTCGACCTCCATACGGTTCCCACTGGAAACCATAGTGCTTAACTCTTGTTCAATTGATCGCTATATACAACTGACCTGTCATCATCCTAACCTATCATCTATCACTGGTGCCCCGCCAGCGTATACCGATAGCGTAAGCGGGGTTACCGAATGGTAACCATCGCAGGTACGCATCTTCACCCGAATCTAATCTGTAATCGAAATTGCTAATTTTAATAATCGGTGATGTAGTGGGTGTAGCGAGTATTTCTTTTTTATACAACTTAGAATGGCAAACAAGGTGACGGCCCACCTGATGGAAAATGGTAACCGTCGCCTATAGACATGAGCAGTACCATGGACATAACAGAGTATACTGTTTCGCCCATGATACCCCCCATGCGTTGCCATTCCTGAGGACTCAGATGTTATTCCTCTGTACACTGTAAATTCACGCCATATCCCACCCTTCAAACCGAAACACAGCCATGCAAACACATGCTTTACGGTAGAAACACGAATGGGCTCGCTCCACGGGTTAAAAGTGGTTTCGTTATAATGCAGGCGGTCAGCTGTCGTGCCTGCGAAGCAGCAGCGCGGTGCCGTCGCTGCGCGCGCGGTTCCACCCGGGCCGCACCGAGCCGCAGCTGCAGGCGCTCGTCGACCGCCTCGTCCGGGACGCGCTGCACTCGCTCTCCACGCGCCTCTACGACAACTACCAGTACTACACCAACGGTATACTATGAATCTACCGTACGCACACCATTTATTTGTCACTGAGCGTCTAAAATGGTCAAGGAACTAAAAAAAAAATCAACCGTCTGATAAATGACCATTTTAGACCCCCAAGAATGTTTTGATGTCGAAGTTAAATTATAAAGTCGGCGGTTTATCATCATTAGTTCTTTTATGGAAAATATGGAATCGAACATTTGAACTGAGGAAAAAATGGACAATATTTTTTTCTAATATTAATTATATATTTAATTTGATAAAATGAAAAGGAAATTTTAATTCAATATTGATTGTCGAGTAGAGTTTTTTCAATATATTCTTTTAAATGTTCTGATGGTGTGACAAATTCTATCAATCGACTTCTGTGGACACTTTGATGACAGATGATGACATGTTCCAATCATGTCTCTCTTAGCGTTCTTATAATTTGGGTTCGATATGGAAAACATTCATGATGAAATCACAAGTAGACACTAGTCATCATACCAAACATTCTATGTTTTTAAAATTTAAAATTATATTATTTAATTCAAAATACTCTTGATTTAAAAAAAATCTCTAAAAATAATTTTTGACACTTATAAAATAAGTTGTCACAATCAATATAGAATATTCAAATGAGATTATATAATCGATTTGTAAATAAAAATTGGCATATATAATATAAACAAAATTTTCTGCAAATTCAAGACTACCATCGACTTTTCAACATGAATACAATGTGAGGTTTTGTTGAAATTGTCTACAGTGGATTTCAATCAATATTTTGAACTAGGATATACAATATAGAATTCATTTTATATGCATATATAAATAAAATTTATTTGTGAATCAAAATTATATTTATCTTCCAATGCTTGTTAAAATTTTGATTCGAATAACTCTTAGTAAATATAATTATTTAGCTAGGTTTTTACTCGAAACTGTTATTCGAATTGGTGTCAGATTTTAATGTCATAAATTCACAATTAGCTCGAGATCCGTGTCTCTTCATAGCAGATCTTCATGATGAACAATTATTTAATTGCGTTTTGTTGAAATCATATTGTGTATTGTTTGTTTAAAATGCGCGCATTATCGGTGTACTATACAGGTCGTAGTTTCAGACAGTTTAAATCCCTTCTTCGTGAAAACGTTTTATAAACTTTATTTTAGCTATTGATATGTTTTGTCTTTTTCTCTTGTGTTAAATTCTCAATTTAAAAGTGACAAAACGTTAAAATAGTTGAAATAAGTTTGAAGTCTTTGGTTTTTATGAATGAAGGGGTTAAGATTTAGTGCCATAACTCCACTGTCACTAGCTATTGTAATCGTCAGGTTTATTTTGTTGCTCAATCATAACATTGTAATACATTCGACCCGTCCATTGTAGTTACTCTATAGAGCCCCGTAGCGCTTTGTAAAAATCACTGATAATTTTCATGTATAAAATTTTACTGTGCGCGTAGGAATGTTAAATTTTCGAAAAAATGAAAAAATGAAATCTGTAAATAGTAAAATGATTATGATAATTTTCGCAAAGAGAAGACTGATTGTTCAGGCGTGAAAAGTGGTTTAGGTTTAGATTTCATAACCGAAAGTAAATTTAAGTTTTATTATGTAAATTGAATCGAGTTGGAATAGACATCGGATTAGTAGTTCTCGTGACGTACAAAGAATTTTAAAAAATTTCTACTTGTGTCATAAAATTTTTCTACACAGTATTTAAATATGCGTATGTACGCAACAAATAAATAATAATAATAAGGAAAAACAACACATATTTCCCAAAATAACTTGTGATCGTTAGCCAAATTTTAAACAAAAATAAAATGTCAGATCGATTACTATAGTCAGATGTCTATTACTTAGCATTAGTATAAATGAAATTGAGAGGAAAATTAGTTTCCGACGTGTAACAAAAATGCCAAAGCATTGAAGACAAATACGGCATTACTTAGATTAATCATCGCAAGTAAATTGTTAAAATATCCAACGCTAGGTAAGCAAGGCCAGGGACACCAAGTAAACTAGGTGGATCTTATATGTAAAAAATCCACTAAGACAAAATACATTCACTTGTAGAAGTCCATATGATATAGGATTGACGCATGATTGACATTATAAGCTAATTTTGATAACATCATTTTAGTTATTATTTAAAGAGATTCAGTGTTCTAATATTCCAGTGAGTCAATTCCATACAATTTGGACTTTGGATCGAGATATCATTAATAGAAATGTAATTTGTTTATGAGGGCGTTTTTATAATTTGTAATAGCGTGGGCAGCTGTGTATGATGTATTGTCATGTTAGATAGAAAACTATCTGCGGCTGTATGAAAGTTTTTTAATTTTTCGATAAATTGGACATAACGGTATAATGTCGTTGGAAAATTAAGTGACTTCATACAATTATAAAATCACGTGACGTGTCGTGTTAAAGCAAATAATAAAAGCGTCCTATAGAGACAGAATATAATTCTTTTTTAAATAAATTTATCAATGTTGTATGGTATTGTTTGATGTTGTGAATTGAAGGCGGTACAGTTTGTTAGGTTGCGTTTGGATAGATTGTTTTATCATTAAATATAATGGAACCAATTCGTTCTGGATAAAATGTATAAGATCGTCTGTAATGTAATATTAAAGTGATCCGGTTTTGATAGTCCTATATATTCGCTTAGTGTTAAATGCGAGTGAGACGATTGTTGCCAAATAGCGATAACACTTTCTGTAGGACAGAAGCTTCTATTTTTCGATCTTTTCACCAATATTCCGAAACTTGCTCTTTTGCAAATAATTTGTATAGGAATAAGAAATAGACAGACACTTATAAAGCATTCTGTTATGTAAAAAGCTTAATTTGATATGTTATGTGATTCTATTGAGAACGGTATATCATGATAGCGTTTTTCTTTATAATGAGAGTAATACGGTGTTGCCGACGTCATCTGTAATTCGTTGTTATTTGAAGTTTTAGTAATAAAATTGCTTAATTAATTATAATAAAATAACGTATAGTACATTGCATCAGCCACAAATATAAAATTATATTGTTTTATAAATACAATGTTCTGGGTATTTTATTTATGATAAATTATGCACATTTATTTAGGGGTATAATTGAATGGTGAATTCTGATTTGTATTTGAAAGATTGAGATAATTCATCTTATATTTTTAATTTGCATAAAGTGTCGAAGTGTTTACACGTAATAAAGACGTCGAGTATACTTATTAAGTATATAGAATAATTTCTCATTAATATAACAATATATTTCGTTTTGCTAGTGAATATTTAGAGAGTTTAGAATTCGTGAGAATATGAAATCGCTAGTTTGCTCATAAGTTTCAACCTTATCTGATATATATCAAGTGTGTGTAAATTATTGTGAGTTGTTATTGCATTATGATTATTATGTAGATAGGACATAATACTGAAGTACCTAAGTACCTTTACATATTTTATATATGGAAGTAATTTATAGTGGCATTATGTATGTTTACTAGTTTAATGGGTATATTACACGAATACATATAAAGGATCGTTTTATATTTACGAGTCCAAATTGGTTAATTATTAGACAAGTGATTTCACTGTTTTGTTTCTAAATTACTGCAGACATTTGGTCACCTTCCTGAGGATGGTCCTCACACAATACAAATATTTGTATTTATGTATATTGTTGAAGTTTAATACTGACTGTTGACACTGAGGTTTTTTAGAACAATGTATTATTTTCAAGTTTGTTCTGTGTCAGATTTTTGTAAAACGTGTCTTGTATCTTTTCACTAAACTTATTATTTTATATCTCAAATACATATATGTCTTATTACTGCATCCTGCTACTTACAACATACGTACAGTGAACGTTCTATATTAGCACCCTCTCTATAAGCAACATACTTTATATTTTATTTTTTCTACTCAGCTTAGTAAAAGAAATAAGTAAAAATATTTTCCAGACGGTAAGTACTTTTATAGTCCTTTTTTTCCTATAACTACAATACAACTTTTCCCAATAAGATTTTTTCTATTAAACTTCCTTCAAATGAGTTGCTTATATAGAGCGTTCACAGTATTTGTTTAAATTGATAGGTATATTTACTATGTATTTACAAAAAGTATTTAAATAACATCTGTTTAATTCCCACATTTTTTTTATATATTAAAAGTGCAACAAGAGTTTGGTAAATTGGTTTAGATATGATCCTATATACTGCATAGTGTAATATACCCCTAAACTAAGTAAATCTGTAAATAAAACTTATTACATATTCGCTTATGATAATGTTTCCGGATATAATATATGTACTTATATTATTAAATCCGATGTCCAATATTTTAAAAACATTTTCCTCAGAAAAAAATATTTATCAACATGTACAGATAATTGTAAGTAGGTACTCTAATGTTTATCTTAATTTTTTAAATATACATATATCAGGATTTTTTTGTCTGTCTTTCATTCAAATCCTTACTTGGTTTGGATAGTAATGAATTTATTTAAAGGTACTCTAATATTTATTATTATTCGCCGTGATTCTGGCATAGAATGGACCTTCTTTTCCCATGGGTGTTTTTTTTTTTTGTTGGGTGAAATTGGTATAGTAACCCCGCCTGCGCTAACGGGATACGCTAGCGGAGCACCATTGAAGGGTGATAGATGAGAATGAAAACAGGCCAGTTAGCCCATCATGATGAATTCATCAGGAATTTACCATGATAGTTTTCAGGGAGAACCGCGAGAAGGTCGACCTGGTTGGGTATATTGCTAACAATGGGATTCTTAGTCTCCATTACTAACAATCTATCCCCTCCTTCCCATAGGTGTCGTAAAAGGGGGCTGAGGGAACTTGATGGTCGAGGGATAGGCAGCAACGTCCTTCTTAATACATCAGCAAAGGCTAACTGCGGTTTTCAACCCGTCTACCAAGCCACGCAACTACTGGCCAAAGTATAATAAGAGGAGGCGCTATGTTCAGCAGTGGACAGTTAACGACTGTTATGATAATGATTTAACATTTATGAAGAAATTAATTATTTGAAACAATAATTTATTGGCTAATATTTTTCCAAGTTAAGCTCGTTGTGCCAGTAATAACTTTCAAGTGGATAAACCAATTGCAATGTAGTTATTTTGTTAACTATTTTTGGTAAGAATGAGACCTCAGTAATATATATATATATATATATATATATATATATATATATATATATATATATATATATATATATATCTGATATAATTTAAGATTATGTTCCACAAAAAAGAACTGGCTTCAATTGTGGCAAAATATTTTGATTGAAAAACTAAATGACTAAACCGATTTTAATAAAATTCCTATGCAACTAATCTATAAGTACGTATCCTTTCAAGTAAAAAAATAATCTCTACAACTGCCGGAGTCATGAGGTAACAAACATAAGAAAACCGAATTGAGAGAACCTCCTTTTTTAAGTCGGTTGAAAATAACAGTCTAGGAATGGATGTTGTATTAAAATACATAAATTGTATATTTGTATTTATTATTTGAAAAAATGTTTGTACAAATTCACCGATTATTTCTTCCTCTTTTTCTTGCCCTTCATTTTGTATTTGAGTTTCTGCTTGATCTTCTCCTTTCGAAGACGCTCTTTCACGATCTTGTGTTTGTCGCTGAATTCCTTCGAGGACGCCTCCGCCTTTTTCTTGGCAACGCGTTCGTTATGCTTCACCCAATGAGGCCGGAACTCTGACACTGTAAATATAAACAGTAATTATAATGTTTAATTGAATAGTAATTACATAGTAAACAGGAAAAAATATACTAAATAATTAAAACCAAATATATTTAATAACATACGTACACATATAAACATAATATAAAAAATGTTTACAAAGAGACAACGACTGTAGTGATGATTACTTTTTTCAAAAAAACCACAATCAAATAAGCATTAACTTGAATTCTTGTATTAAAAATTAGTATAAAACGTAATTCACAAATCGCCAAGATACTTCGTAATAATCAATCATCTACTTTGTAAACGATAAACACGTTTACTTTTATTTTTTAATACTTAAATTCAAAATAGAATAGAAAACATTTATTGGTCATAAAACATGTGTATATAACAAAACTATTAAATCGATTTTGATAAATTTTTTATGAGACCAAATTGAAAGTATATCCTTCAAGATAGAAAAAAAATCCAAATCAGTTTATAACTGATGACGTAATGAGACAAAAATAGAACTAAATTGAAAAACTTCTTTTTGAAGTAGGTGGAAAAGAGCGATCCATATCTCAGCATTAAGCCAGAAACAGCTGGCGCATTAATATCGGTTAGTAGCACTGATCTTTTGAAAGTATATCAAAATTGTTTACGAATATGAGTAGAGAAAAAAACAGATCATTATACTCGATGACCTTGGTTATGTAGCGACAAACATATATACATTTGTGTTTATATTGGACTGGGTATTATCTATGTTTTTAAAAAGTATTATTTTATTATTTATAGTTTTACTTAATTTGAAACTAGATGGCGTTGTGTAATACACGAGTGAATTGGTATTTGAAATAATCCAAAGTTTTTCGATTACCATTATGTAGGAAAGGGTAATATAGATGCCGATTCAAATCTATATATTGGATTCCTCCAGACTTTGATGGCGGATAAAAGGTCATCACCCATATCGGTCCGATGTCTATTTTCGAATATATTAAAAGTCTATTATCCAATATTATTTATAATAGTATTATTATTATATTACCCGACTCTACTATTATGTGCATAAGAGTATAATTAAATCAATATGTTGGATGCATATTACAAAAGAGCTATAAGCATTGCATTCCATTAGCTAGTTTTAAACATTGGAAAAATATGTAATCGCAAAACCAGTTAAGTACTTGACACAAATACACATTTAATTGTTGTACAACAGTATTCGGAATGGTTAAACGTAATATCTTCAACAAATTATGATACTTGTATTTTGAATATAATTGTATGGATTACTATGAATAATAAACTTCCAAAAGAATTTTCCAAACTTGTTTATAATTGACGGAGTTATGAGGTAACACACAGATCGAGAACATCCTTCTTTTTAAGTCGGTTGAACAACAAAGCAACTAAAAGTTGTGGAGCGTACCTAAGAAATATCTGTGGCTTGCCACTTTGTGACTTGACTAAAACGCTACTAACATGTTTTAATTAACTTACTAAATGTATGTCATTACATATGAGTTTCTCATGTGTTTCTAGCATTGAAAAAGTTACCCTTTCCTTTCATCGGTGTCGTAAGAAGCGACTAAGGGAGAGCAAGGGATGGGCAGCAGCATCCCTCTTAAAACATCTCCAAATCTTAACTATGGTTGCCAATCTGCCTGCCAAATGTGGCAACTATTGGCAGTCCAAGGAGGAGATATGTTCAGCAGTAGACAGTTGAAAGCTGACGTGATGATGATGATTACATGAGTATGTTCTAAACCTATCTCTAATATTAATAACATAATCTGATATTATAACCAAGTCATTGTTCTTAGGATAGATATGAACTGTAAATATTATTTTAAATTTAGTTCACGATGGTCCTTAAAATAGTGCTCTTTAATTAAATTATCAAAATATTATTTAGAGAATGGCGCCTAGGAATCGACTCTACAGTCAATGAGTGTTACCTGAAGTATATTGTTACTCACCGGGTTTCTTCGTATTACGGTGCGCAGGCGCATCGTCGTCGTCGTCGTCATCGTCGGCGGCCGCGTTACGGCGGCGCCATTCGTCGTAGCGGCCGCTGCGGAAGCTAGCCGCCACTCGACCGCCGCTCTCTGTGCGGATCATCTTGCGACCACCGTCCTGCAATCGAAATTTATATAATTACTTATCTAATCGGAAAAAAATCATAGAAAATACGTGACAAAATATTTAGACATATGAGATGACAAGTTGGATTCGTGATGTTATAGGCCAAAATGACGGTTGGAAGGAAAGAGAACTGTACTATGCGTGATACAGTATTTCAGTATTTTCTGTAAAGTCCATGTTACTATTCATATTTGAAGACGACAGTTACAGTTTTCCGTTAGATAGGCTGTCAAATTAATTGCCATTATAAAAAAAAAAATATTCAATACTAGAGAACTATTTCAAAATTATATTATGAATAAAGTTATTTGAAAATGTTGCCAAATAAAGCTGGCGGATATTGGAAATATTTTCGTAGTTGTGATACTACAGCCGTGAACGCGCGGTTTGACATTTTTCAATCGCACAGATAGACTGTCACAATCCAATAACATTTGACAAAACATCTGTCGGGCTTGCTAATCATAAACAAAAGTCTTCAATTATAGTCTTGTTTCTGACTACGTACCGGGTCGACGTGCACCATCTTCTTCCGCTTGCGGTCCCAGCGTTGCATGGAACGGGCAGCGCGCGCGGCCTGTCCGCAGTCGGCCGCTAGCTGTAGTTCGGCCGCCGCTGCACCAACGTTGAAGTTCACCGCCATGCTGCCGGGGAACACTTACTAATCACCTTGGTTGTTTCATATTCAAGGGTTACAGGCGTCCATAGGCTACGGTAAACCCCCTTTACCATCAGCCGGGTCGTATGCTTGTTTGCCGCCATAGTTACATAAAAAAATATAATACCAGGAATTTGGATAAATATTACACAGCGCCATCTAGTTTCAAACTAAGTAGTACTTTTTTTTATAAATACACACATAGAAAACCTCCAGACTAAAACAAATAGAGATATTCATGAATACAAATGTTTATATTGTGCAAAGTTCGAATCCGCGGTATGTTTCTCAATAGATATCACAACTGCATATATTTTCATATATCTATCTCTTCATTAAAATTAAATTTAGAGTTCTTACATAAAATTTATCTCGAAAAAATGTTTAGAAAGTTGACAAAAACAGATATATATGTAAATGGTATTTTTGAAAGGATAGAAGAATAGTTCAAGAAAGCTTTTTATTATGAAATAACATAAAGGCAAGTAATTTAGTAGCGAAAATATTTGCCTCATTCAAAGTTCGTTTACATTGGGGTACTTTTAGTGTCACTATCTATGTTTGTAGCTAGAACCCTTTAGAAAAAGCCACAACATCATATTGACTTCCCTTCAAACAACTACATGAATTTTGCTTTCCTATTATATTGTGACGATAAACACGCTGTGTTCTCAATGAAAACGGAATGGTAACTTTGCCTGCGCTATCGGTTTACGCTGGCGAGGCTCCAGTGATGGATGATAGATGACGATGAAGCAGTTCAGTTGGCCAACGTGATGAATTGATCAAAAATTAATCACGATGGTTCCCAGGAGGAACTACGTGGAGGTCGGCCTGTTAGGGTATATTACTAGTAATGGACCTGTTAGATTACGTTACTAACAATCTCATTGTTGTGCTAATATAATACATTTATTAAAAATGTGTAAAGAAACTAAAAATGAGTATAAAAAGGATCAAGAAAAAAGTTTCTTATTACAATATTTAATTCGCAAATTTTTTTTTATACCACTGAGGTGGCAAACAATCATACGGCCCACCAGATGGTAAGTGGTTACTGTAGCCTATGAACATCTGCAATACCAGAGGTATTACGCGTGCGTTGCCGACCCTGAAGAAACCTCTTTACCCCCCTTTTGAAGAACCCCATGCTGTATTCTCTTGGGAAAACCTCAGTAAAATTCATATACAACTTACCCAGCTTCAGTGTGCTGGTCACTTGCTTCATGAGGAATATAATTCTCATCGCGGACCACTTCTTTCTTTTTCTTTCTATTTGAATCAATATTTTCAACTAGTACTCCATCAGCCTAAAACAATAACAATTATGTTATGATTACTTTTTTTTTAATTAGGTATGAGGGTGAGATGTCTTACTTGTTTATTGTCATACTTGTTCACTGTACAATCCAATAACAAATTTTAAATGCTACTTTAATATGCTATTTGTTACAATTATATGTATTAAATTTTATAAGTTACATTGTAAATCATTCTAGTGTTAATATTATAATTATTTATTACATTTGGGACAAATGATCCGTGTTTATATTATATGGTCATATTAGTAATGTGGCAGTGTTAATAAGACATTGGTGACATTACCTCATTTATTATTAAAAAAAGTGTCAACTTTCTTACCAGTTATTGTTTTTCAGCTTATATAATTAATATTATCATTTGTCAAGATTGGTCTTAGCAGCATAGCAATAATATTGTGAATTACAATCATTTTTTTAACGTACCAGTAATTTCTTATTTTCTCTAGTTTTCTCCACCATTTTACCATGAACCTGCTTTTTTACTTTCATTGCTAGATACATGGGTGAGTCATTCTTTGCAGCTAACTCCAAGATAGTCTAAAACAAAAAGTAAAATATTGTAATTACAAAAGACTTTGTAAATTATATATATATATATATATATATATATATATATATATATATATATACATAAATATATATATATACATAAAAGAATAAAAAAAAAACAAATTATAAGATAAGTAAACTTAAATTTGTGGTTTTGACCTCCCCCCTTCCCCATGACACGTAAAACATAAATGAAAAGGGTTGCCAACTTAGGTGAGTTTAATTCTCTAGTATTTCATTTAAATAAAAAAAAAACAATGTTACGTAACGCGTTATTCGAACCCCTCTCCTCTCGCCCATGTAACGCATCGTAATATTTAAAAGACATAGATAGATCGAGGTATTAAGTATAGATGATTTCTTACCAATCTATCTATATTCTAATTACGCAGACAACGTTGCAGGTAAAGACTGGTAGTATAATAAATACATGACTTACCCCCTTAGGTGTATAATTCTTGAGCTGTTCAACGAGTTTATTTGCATCATCCCCAACATTGTCGAGCAAGTATGGGTGTGTGAGTGCCGGCGGTGTGATCGTCTTAGCCCGTTTGTTGGCTTCAGCTGACGCAGCCTCTCGCCACTTCACGTACTGCTGTAACCCACGTGAACAGGTCCTGGCTGCTTCTTCCTGGAATTATGACATTTCGACAACTTTTAATGCTTTATGGCCACTGTAAGACTACTACTTATTCTAGAAGGAGACTGTAGGTACAAAAGTCGTCTGCTTGGGTATCTCTGTCTCATTCAGGTCTCTACCGTGAAACAGCAGTGCTCGAGTCTGAAAGGTGGGAGATGGTAGTGCAATTACAGAGTACAAAGGCATAACATTATAGCCCTCAGGAATGATAAAATTCAAAGAGTATCATGGGCATCACAGTGTCTTGTCATGTCTGTGGTGGTGTTCAGGTCTATAGGCAAATGTTAGTACTTTCTATCAGGATGGCCGTCAGCGTGTTTGCCATTCTGTGTAGAAAAACGATGCAAAAAGGCTAATAAAGGGTGGAAGGTATAGGTTGGCTAAAACGAAATGGTATATATTTATAATATGTATCTAGGCGTATTAAAGTTTAGTAAATAAATAAATTTTCAAGTTAAAGTAAATTATACAGGAAGATTAATATTTAAATTCTGTAAAACGTTCGTAAAAGATCCTATTTCTGCAACTATGTTTCTTAAGTTAATATATTAATAAGTAGACAATTTTAGTTTCAGTTACATTTGTTAAGTTTGCCTTTCTTGCGAGTTTTTAACTTATTAATTGTGTATCGATTAATCTCTTCTTAGGTCTTGAGAATGAAAATGAATTTAAACTTACAATTTCAGAGTAATCCCTCTCCCAACTCATGACGTCTTGGTGTCGAAGTTCTAGTTGACTCGTCGGCATGATACCCCATACGCCACTAGGACAGGCGGGACCCACTTCCGTGACCTGTCAGTGGATATTTTTATTATTATTTCAGCTGTTAACTATTCACTGCTGGACATAAACCTTCCCTATAAGAAGAGATTTGCTAATAGTTGACATGCTTGGAAGGCGTGTTGTTGTTTTCATTTCGATATTATATATAGGATACCCAATATTAAATATACCTGTTGTTAGGTCAATATATAGATATTGTAATTATATATCAGCAACCTCTAATTTTAAAATTTTGTCTAAGTATTTGTAGGGTGACACTCAATCTAGATACTATTAGTCTATGTCGCATTATACGTACCTGTGCGGGCGACAAGAGCTCCGCGCCGAGGAATAGTTGCAAATCTAGCAGGTGCGCGAGGTCCGCAGCAGCCAGTAGCGACCAAGCGCGGCCCGCGCGACCGGCTCGAGCACTGCGTCCTGTTTATAATTACTAGATGTGACCACTATTTAAGTTCTGTGGGATTGTTAGTACCGGGAACTAGTGACACCATTACTCGATAAGATCGACTTCCATTTTTCAGTTATTTTTCTGTTACGACTTGACCAGACACAATTTTAATTATTCCTCGCCATCCTAGTTGCTTGGAATAAATAGCTATCTAGTTAGCGATAAGGCCGCCCACTGTTGCCTCTTTGTTTTGCTTTTATGTAATTAAGCATTCATTTTGCTTGTGTACATATTGTTCATCATTATAATCTGTAGCATTCTTAGAAGGTAACAATAGTTTCATTCCAGAAAATTATTATCTACTAAGTGATTAATTTCTGGCGAAATCGCAATAATGGACTCATTATGATGAATTCACCAGAAATTATATTGACTTGAAACTGACTTGACTTTAATCTCACATATCATTTTCATCTCACAAAAAATGTAATGATGTATGATTCATCTGAGTACAAAATGTCTGTTTAAAGACAATTACATTTATTACATTTAATGAGCTGATGGTTTAATTAATTAATATTCGTCAAATTTGGTACAGATATTTAGTATGAAGTACCGAAATGAGGATATTTGCAAAAGAACCAAAGTTATAGCCTGAAGGATAAGTAAGGTGCAGTGGCAATGGGCTGGTCATATAGCTCGAAGAACCGATAATCGATGTGGAAGAAAGGTTCTTGAGTGGCGACCCCGTACGGACAAATGCAGTGTAGGATGACCCCCACTAGATAGAGTGACAACCTCAAACGATTTGCAAGGAATCAATGGATGCAGGTGGCACAGAACCGTTCCTTATGGTAGTCTATGGGGGAGGCCTATGTTCAGCAGTGAAAAGATAATGGCCGCGATGATGATTTAGTATGAAAAATATCATGAACAATGTCATGGGTACTATTCATTAGCTAATTTTAGAATATGGGATATAGAATATTATACTAACCAACTCTATGTACAAACAGTTTAGGTGTAGCAGGGAAATTGTAATTGATCACAGTGTCAAGTGCGGGCAAGTCGAGCCCTCTAGCTGCCACATCTGTGACGAGGAGGACAGAGCATTTTTTGTTTGTGAATCGGCCGAGTGCAATTTTACGGGCTGAGGGATCGAGACCGGAGTATGCATATGTAGATGATATACCAGCTTTTTGCAGTATCTGAAAAATAGTATGTAATTAGTTATTATAATTATTGAAAGATGATGGGCTTTACAGGCAGAAAAAACTGTGACACCGCAACCTTTGCATGATCTTTTTTTGTGCTCGCTCTTTTTTTAAAGTTCGTTACTGATTCCTATTGTTCTTTTAATTAGTTACTAACTATAACAATAAATTATTTTTATTCAAATAAACTTAATAAAAAGTACTTTTGAATAGTCATATTTTTAATAATTTACCGTCCAGTTTGGAGAGTAATTTTAACTAAAAAAAACAGGCAAGAAACACAATTGTTGCTTTTAATAAAATATTAATAACCTTAGTGATTCCATATTTATATAGGATAGGAAAATAAAAAGAGTATGAGTAGCACCATTTCACAAAAAAATTTCTACCTGCGAATTACCTGGACATTTTTCCCAAAGAAAAGAGTCCACTGTATTAATATGGGGAACCTAGGTATCAAGTTAGTATGGATAGCTTGGAAAATTATGACATTTTTCAACTCAATTCAATAATTGAGTATACACACACAGTTTTTTCTATGAAAAAAAAAATTACTAACAAGAAGTGTCTTCAGGGAGAGTCTCGAGAAGAATGCTACTGAATTCGATATTAATCTGTTTATGGTAAATATTAGTTTAAGAATGTTTTAAATAAATAAATTAGTTACCAAATGTAAGTATTCAACATGATGCTTGGTAGCAGCAAATACAACAGCTTGAGGTGTTTGTGGTGTCAACACTTTATCCAGTAATAACAATAGAGCTGCTGTTTTCAATTCTGCCCTGACATAAAGCCAACCAAGCCACAATGTTGATGGTAGTTTCCAGTCCACATCTAATCTGATCAGTACGGGGTCTGAGAGGCCAGCTCTAGCAAATTCTACAAGCATTTTCGGTAATGTTGCTGAGAATAAGAGTGTTTGACGGTTAGAGGGCAAACGGGCGACAATTTCTCTCAGTTGTTCACCAAATCCGAGTTCAAATAGTCGGTCAGCTTCATCAAATACTACAGTATCTGCAAAACGATAAAGTAATATGATAAATATTAAAAATAACTTATTAAATATTTTTAATGTTTATGAAAATAAAAATTTGCTATGACATAACATTGTAGACAAAGTAATTGATAATTCTAATAATATTGGTCATATTTTTGTTTCATTTATCTAACTGTTAAATTTTTATTTAAAACCTTTGACAAATGAAAATCGGGCCGCTCATAAAAATGTGTTTAACCTTAGCAATTGGCACAAGGTAAACATTGAATAGTTTAAAATGTTATCATATTTCAGGGAATATATACCTCTTCTTCTTCCTACTTTTATTCCAATTATTATATGGGGCTAGTATAATATGTTTTTATCTATATTACAAAAATATTTGGCTTAGTTTTACGACTGGCCATCTGCCTGATGTCAACCCTTTTTGGGAATATATACTAGTAAAATAAAAAAAATTACATCAAAAGTCTACAAACCCCGAAATTTAAAAACTAGCATTATTTTCTGAACACACTTAAGCTTATTTGATTATAAAAGGCTTACTTATGTTATCCAGTTTGAGACTCATCTCAATACATATGTGAAGAAACCTTCCTGGTGTGGCTACAACAATGTCAGGCGATTTGCCAGACATGACACTGAATTGTTGTTCAATAGACTCCCCTCCAAGGATTGCTGCTGAAGTGAGGCTTGTAAATTTGCCAAGTTCTCTGACAAACCTTAATGTCTGTAATAAATTATATTTTTATTTATTAATAGAAATAAATTAAATTGGTACAGTATATTCAGGCAAAAAGAATAATCTCCAAACCTAGTTTCTACATTATATTAAACAACTAATTTATTTTACAAATGTTTTGATCTAAAAGATAAAGGAACTAGAGCACTCTTTGCTAAGTAAGGCAATGCTTCTCTTTAGGTATAGTAAGAAATGAGTGATACTTTTAGATTAAGGGCTATTGCCTTATCAAATTTTCAGGATTTAATGTGGATTTATAGAGTATGACCAAAACCAAAAGAAATCAGTAGATTTAATAAGTTATTCATGATATTGTAATTTAATACCAGCCTAAATTCATCAATCAATCACAGATTGAGTATTTAATAGTACAATATGCTCTCATAATAAATATAAGCTGGAATACCAATTCTTGTAATAAAAAAAAAAAATCAATTAAATTATTAAGATATTACCTGTAAAGCCAATTCCCTAGTAGGAGACAAAATAAGAGATCTAAAATTTTTCCCAGGCAGAGGTTTATTAGCTGGTGCTATGAGTTTGTCCAAGATTGGGAGCACAAAGCATGCTGTCTTGCCTGATCCTGTCCGAGCCATAGCAACCACATCTTTGCCTTCTAAAGCTAGTGGAATTGTCTGTAAATTAAGTAGATACAAAAGTTATATACAAGACTAACAACATTAAAATAATTCATAAACTATTTTAATTTAATTATACAAGCTTGATAAAATAACAAAAAAATGAACATTACAAGTTATTTTAACTAATAAACTTTGATCCGTAAGCAATGTTATTTTGTAATGGCATATAAAAAAAATTGAAGTAATTTCTTATTATTACTAAAAATAAACTTCTTTCCATATTTTTCAAGTATTATTAGAATTCTTTGTATAGTATGAAAGTTGAGGTTATGTTGAAATTACCTTACGTTGAATAGGAGTTGGCTGTTTATACCCTCGTTTAGTGATACCTTTAAGGATAGGAAAACTAAGTCCCATAGATTGGAAACCGCCTGAAGTCTTCTTTTTTTTCTTGGTACTGGATTGTTCATTCTGTGCGTTCCCTTCGCTCGATGGTAACTCGAATCCAGGGAGGTCATCTCCCAATTTCTTAGGTTTTAACATTTTTTCTACATGTAGGTAGATAATTTTTTTTCGATTAAATTATGTTACAGAGTAAATTAGTATTTAGTACAATGAAATAAAATATAATTCATTGAAAGTATAATTGTAATCATGTGCTTTTGTTATGACAATTACTTTATAATTGAAATCAAAATGACGGATCAGTGACAACTTGAAGTTATTATTTGTCTTTATTGACTGATTGACGCACAAACTGTAATTGGGTATCGGACTGACGCATAATCTGTGGACTGGTGGACTCACTTTAAGACTGACGTTATTACTGCTTTTAATCTATATAAACATAGATTAAAACGATTATTTGTACTGCTGGAAATAATGGCGGAAACGGTGAACATTTAATTGTAATAGAAAGATGTAGTTTGAGTATAAATTAATACGTCGTGGGTCAATGCGTAATTGTTTGTTATGACTGTGGTGTTCTTTGAATATTACTTGTAAAAAAATAATAATTTTCGAGTTACGAGCCTCTTGTACATGACACTGGCAAAAATGATCGTAAAAATGCGACTGATTGCTATTAAATAAAGGTATTAAAACCATGGTTTTAGTCATAGACTTAATATACCTTACTACGTACTAAGTTTTGGTGATGTGCCGACCCGGCCTTTTTTAGTTTTCTATTCAATATAACCTAGTGATTACTCACTCTGTGGTAGGTATTCAAGTACACTTGTTAAAAAAGGACAAAGTCGACTCTGAGGACTTAGACAAGTATTCGAGTGCATGAACTGGTATATGAGTACTTTATCAGACTCGAATGCTTTTTCAATTGATTTTAAATTAAATACTGTGTTCCACAAAAAAAAATCGACTTCAACTGTGGTAAAGCCTATTATTTTGATTTGAAAACTAAACTATTGAATTGATTTCGATAAAATTTCTATGGAACCAATCTCTAAGTATATCCTTTCAGATAAAAAAAATAATGTTCCAAATATTGTTTATAAATGGTTAAATAAATGTGGTTTATAACTAACAGAGTTATGAGATAGAATAAACATAAAAAGAATACAACTGATTTAAAGACTTCTTTATTTTTGAAGTCCATTGAAGAAGATCATAAACATTCAAGTTTAGTGTATTAATTACTTGAGTACCTAAATACCTATTAGAGACCTATTAGCTTTTATACTATACATTCATCACCTCTGACTGGTACACTGCCAGCGTATTGCTACCGATAGCGCGGGTGGGATTTATTTTCATTATCATCGCAAAGATAGACAAGTTTCTGACGCTTCTTCTGACGACAGAAAAGTTACTATCTTTTACTGGTAAGCCCCTGATCAATGTTGACAGCGCTCAACCCGATATTTCTCTTTGGCGTATTTTTTTAAGATTTTTTTTCGCATACATATTGTTCGACATGTCCTCGAGAAGCTTGTTGTGCATATTGTGATGTGCATAGACAATTCTGGAGTAGGCACTACTTTTTCGTCCCCCCTTAAATACGCCTATAATTTTGTGTGATTTCATTTGCGCCTATTATTTTTCATTGGTTCTACACTAGTGTATAAAATAGTGTATAATTTTGTGAAACCGGGAACTCGTAATTAAGGAAAAATATTATGTTTCATTAAAATTATATTACTACGTATCTACCTAATAATTATACTTTTTGTATTAAATATTAGGTATATTAAATATTACATAGTAATAACATTTATGAATATTCAGTGATAAATAACCACACGTGTGGACTAATTATAGACTGCAATGTTCATTGTATTTAATAAAAAATGAAGTATATAAAAGTTGATATATTGGTAGTTAACGCAATAAGGTTTTACCCTAAGGTTTTACCATAAATATAGTTGTTTTAATGGAATACTACCAGGAATTCGATTTTTTATATTATTTCTTGGTACCTATTATAGAAGTAAAAATATCTTTGAGTCATCGAGGTCACTGTGACCACAAATGCGAAAATATATATATTACACGTGCTATAAATAAAAATAACATTCTAGATATTTAATATACTATCTATTATTCTATCTCGGTGTATAATATAGTAAGTATATCTTGTATATGTGTAAGTATATTTGTTATTTATATATATCTATTGATTTATGTATGTACATTTTAGTATGTATGTAAGTATATCAATTATTACTAGTACAGCATTAGAGTATTCTGACACTTCCTACAGGTTGACTGGGAGAGAATACTTTTAGCATTAAGTTCACATTATAATTGTACACATACATGTACTAAGGAATAAATAAATATTTATATAATTATTGCCTAACATTGTTAATTAGGTCGATAGATGTGTTTTAAATGTTTACTAAAATGTATTTTTTAATAGATAAAATTAAGACATGTCTTAGAGTACATATGCTTTTTTAATGGGCCAGAATGGAAAATAATCTTAAATATCGTCATAGTCGTAGAATACTGACGGATCTGACGAAGATTATATATAAAGATCCGTCACTATTCTACGACTATGACGATATGTCAGTGACATTACTAAAGAATAAACGATGCGGATGAAATCACATCAGTTGGCCTATCGTGGCTAATTATGTAGGAATTAATCACGATGATTTCCAGAAAGGACCGTTTGGACGTCATTTTGACAGAGTATATTGATATTGATAACAATAGGGAAACCCTTCTCCCAACTCATCACAAGGGCAAAGGTCGATAAATGCTTCTAACCGGCCCATTATAAACGTGAGTTGTCATGGTTTATACTATAAATAATCTGTGGCCATGGGCATTACCTTAGGCATTACACTATAATTTGTATAGTTCATGGTGGCGAATGGTTCATATTCAAGTTCATAGTCCATGAACATATATAGTAATATTATTTATATATTTATATACAGTCTCTCAATACGCTCAACCTGGAAAGCATTAATACAATAATACATACTTTACAGTTATAGTTAAAAGGGATAATATAAGATAAAATAAGATTAAAATGCCATACAACCATACAATAATAATAGAAATAAAATGTATATCTTAAATATCTGAAAACATGTACTCTGTGGTCATCCGACGAAACTTCAGCAAGTTGGAGCCAAATACATCTAATTGTGGATACTATCTCAAAATATCATTGAGTAGTTTCAATGCAGGACAGAGAGGAGCTTGCTTGACGAATTCTGTTCTTTTTAACGGAACATCAAATAAATGCAGTGTAAATATTGCGTGCTCGCACGTAGTTACTGGGTGTTCTTATTGATATTGATACCAGTACATTTTAATTACATTTTTCCCCCATATTAATTTTAGCACATATTTAATTAAATTTTATTTCCGTCACACAAATTTACAATTCAGCACATTCGAGTTGCATATTAATACCTACCTATTATTATTATTACCTATTGAGTGTGTTCTCATTGTTAAGAATTAAAACTAGTATAACCTGAAAATGTTACTCGCGACATGTCCACAACTAGTAGATGCATAACAAACAGACGACAAGTTCTACGCGGGTAAAACCGTGTAATTTCCTTCAATTGTTTAGGATTTAAGTCTCTTAATTTGCTGATTTATTTTTAAACTTTTAACTGCTTTGGGCTTAAAAATATTTGTTGGATATAACCGATAAATATTTTCATGCCCGTACAGACCTTGTCAAATTTATTCGACAGAGAATCTGTATTTCTATGCTGGATTTTTCGTTAATAGCCTGCTACTTTAAAACAGTAATGAGTAAACTAGGTGCAGAATATAAAACAAAAGTTTAGGTACAATAATTCTGAGGAGGTGTTATGCTCATCCATTTTTTTCCATATGCCCGAACCAACGTAGCTTAAGGTAGTTGATTCCTGAACAAAAAGAGGCATGAAATACTAGATGGCGTTAGAATCGAGATTTGTAGTTTTTATTATTTTGTAGGTAGAAATAATTTGAAGCAAAATTTCTAAATCTGCGGACGGTTATATTTATTTTTTACCCATATAGTCATAATTTATCATCTTTTTTATTCTTATTCTCCTGTGTTGTACAATTAAAAAAAAATACTAGGAAGGAATATTTCGAGTCTTTATTCATTCAAGAATAGGTCGCGTGTTATCTGTCATTTTCACGCTATTTTTCATTTTTACACTGACACTTTTTTAAAGTAACTTGCTCACATTATGTACTAAGAAAGTAAGAACCAGTAAAATTACCATTATATCAGCTTTTAATTGTCCACTGTCGAACATAAGCCTCCCCAATAAGGGTGGTTTTGCCAACAGTTGCCACGCTTAGCAGGCAGCTTGGCAACCACTGTTAGGCTTTGGTGATATTTTAAGAGGAACGCTTCTGCCCATTTCTCGTCATTCTATGCCACTAAAACACTTAATAAGTGTTATAACGAACTATGATTTTCAAAAAATTTCAATTATCTACGTAAGTAGACGTTTATTAAGTAATTACTCGGATATTTACGAACGTATGAAATTATTAAATTTGCCGGTATTGTAGGGATGTGATTATGAGATAATTAGCAGATCATATTTTTTATCGGTTAATGTAAATTTAATTACGAATATCTAATAGGTAACCTAGTTAAAAATTAACCTTATGAAGTAGAATTATCTAATAATAATCTTTACACACATATTACTTAGTTTTTTCTTTGTAATACTAGTGGGTATCCAATTACACATTTTTTAAAAATATTTCTTAAGTAACTGCCAAACGTGTTCACCCCTAGTGACGTCTCTTCTCTGTTTGCTCAATGGTTGACTGCTAGAAAATACCATCCAGTGTTAAGTCCGCTAAATATACATATATTCACACTGTACATTAGAAATCAAATAATGAAATAAACACAGGTATGTGACCCCAGCCTCTTGAGGTACGGCAGTTTCTAACCTTCCGCAACTGCGTGCGTCCCTTTTTCCCTTTCCCCATAAATCCTTCGTTCCTTTTATATCAATTTTCTTTACTCACTGCCAAAGGCTCCGTTTTTCCTCAATATTTTTCTCCATACAGTACGGAGCAGATATCACCAACAAATGTATTCCCAAGGAGGGTTTACGTTTTTGGGTTATATAAAAAAAGATCGGAAGATGATGATGAATTTTTAAGGATTAGGTTCCTTTAGGTATTTCCTTTTTATATAATTGGATAACACAATAGTGCTGGTGAGAAGGAAAGTTAGTTTTCTACCTTATTTAGATCTATCGGCTTTACTGCTAGGAAATACCCATCAGTGGGGTCACTCTTGAAATAAATGCGAATAAATCGAGATTGAAATTGAGATGTATCGCACTCTCGAATTGCAATAGTTTGCGACATTATGGCTCCATATTGTTTTGATAGGTGCATATTAATGTAACTTGCCAAGCAAACTATTGAAAATTGATCCTAATTATAACTTAATTCCTAACTGTTGTTTTATGAGTGCAGTGTAAAATTGTCATTGGAAATAGATTGGATTAATATGGCTATAAGATTCAAGAGTAGACCTGCACGTCGATCTCAATGTGGTTCTTCTTGGAATCTATTATGATTAATTCTTAATTCGATAAGCCACCTTAGCTGTTTATATCATATTTTATTTGTGGTCTGCCAGCCTATTCTGATTTGGTTGCCAGCGGGGTTACTATTTTATTATCATAGATTAAAAAATAACACAACAAAGTTATAGGTCTCAAAGAAAATGAAAAAATATTGCATTTTTAAAATATTTATTGTTGTAAAAAATAATGTGTTAATTTATTACTAAGATTAATATTTAATGTCTTACAATTATTAAAGCTTTAAATGGCATCATAACAATACCTATTTATTACAGTTTTACTTTCATTTTATACTTTCATTTAGAAAAGTAGTGATATTAAAAATATATATATACAAATATATTTATTACATTCAATGAAAAATACAATGAAGTTATTACAAACTTTTAAGACTTATACTTCTTTAGAGAGTTTCTGCGTTCGATTTGGATTGTTGGATCGAGTCTAATATTGCCTGAATAAAGTCTTAATTTAAATTTGGAATTCATAATCATGCTATAATTAATTTCCTATTAAGTATATAATTACAACAGAAGGAAAATAATAATATAAGTTATCAACCTTGAAGGTATATGAAACAATTCACAATATATGAAAGTTCATAAATAAAAACTGAAAAAGTTACTCGTAAAGTGCACCCATACCTTACCAAGAATAAAGAACACACGATCAGACATTTAAAAGTATCTCATGCAATTTTTAAAATTAGATAGATTTATATCTTTTATTGCTAGTAGTTAGGCAGTGTCAACAACGTAGACGTTTATAACAAGTACAATAAAACTTAAGCAGTACTCTTCTATTAGTCGTATAATAATAACAAGTTCAACGTATTCTCTAAAGTTCAGACTCTTGTAAAATATGTACAAAATATTATTCACAAATAATATGAATTTCAGGTGGAGATAGGTATGTATCTACATAAATCTTAACAGGTTTTATCCATCGACAGCATCGTCACGTACCTGTGAAAATAACAAGAAATATTTATTTTAATACTCAGTTCTTTACTAGCTAAACAATATGTTAACCTTAAAACCTTAGATTATATACGAGTAGATAGAGTGTTGCCATACAAATACTTCGAGAAAAGCAGGTCAACTTTTTCATAAAATTTTGCGTGATAAATAGGTATGAGTGATTCCTTTATAACTTCTATATTTATTTTGTTCTTTAAATTCTTTACAATATTAATGCGCAAAATTAATTTTATTTATTAAATAATTAAATATAGATACATTGTGTGCGTAAATATATAGAACATTAATAAAAAAACGAGTCATTAATTGGGAAATTAACTGACGAAAAGTCGACCTGTTTTTGAGGCTATCTATATAATCTAAGGTTAATACTTAGTTAATACGATTATGAGTATTTCAATGAGATTTAAATAAAAAAAGAAAAGAAAAACAAATATATACTCCTAACTTTGTATGAAACAAAATAACATATTTAACTACACCTAACGTAATTATTAATGTTTTAATTAAATTAACTTATAAACTATCTGTCATCTATGTTAAATGCCAATTATTGAATTTAAAATATGAGTATACCTATTTAAATTAAACAACCTATAACTTGCGGTTTTGTATGTGTATATTAAAAAATAAAAAGTTACATGAAATATATGTTTACATGAAATATTTAGTGGTATTTTGAAAGTGAAAATTTAATATTTTCATTTTCAAAATACCATTAGTCACGTAACGGAATTATCACAATAACAAGGTAAGATAAGTATAAGGATTTTTTCCCTATGGTATTAGGATACTTAATAACATTAGGTTGAGATTTAACTTATCATATGAGAGTCAATGCTCTCTCAGTAGCATACGATTGATTCCACATAAATATAATTATTTTAACTCATAATATCTAATATTGGTGCAATAAAGTGTTAAATAAATAAATATGCACATTCATTTTATATTTAATACACATTTTCAGTATCTGCAAAAGTTAGCAGCGGGTTTAATTAAAAGTTTGATGTTTAATAAAATTAAAAAAAAAAAAGATTTAAATAAAGTAAAAATATAAGAAATTATACTAAGGTCGTTTGCTAACTACTAACTAAGTACTTACATTTATAAATTACGAGTTGGTACATGCAATTACACCTAACTGAATTGCGTGAAAGTATGATGAAACTCGACCATGTCTGACCGACGCATTCCGCTTGCACGGATGGAAGGTTCCAGATTTGTTTGGACGCAACACGTGGTAGAGTGTATATAGGCTTACAGTTTTTTAGACTGTGCTATGGATACTAATAAATTGGATATGGAACAACATTATTATGTATAAAAAATTGCTCGATGTAAGTTTTTAAAAATGAATGGTAATCCAGCCTACTATTGGTTCGCTTTAGTAGAGTACTAGTGAAGAATGATAAAGGAGGAATACATCATTGGCTTGTGATAAATTTATTGGCTTAATTACTTCATAAAATTACTTAATGAATTTACTGCCCCGTTGTTATGCATAATCCATTTCCCCATTTGGTGTAGATATACCAAATTAAAGAGTTCGTATACAATAGATACCTATATTTAATGTCAAGTATATTCTAAAATTTTCAAAGTCCCTATCTGATTTCCTGAGGGAATAGAAGGCTTTTAACATAAATAATTTTTAAAATAACTGTTAAAAAGAAAACATTTACTGTTAAAAAAATATAAATATAAGTATCAAAAGATCATATCGAATCTGTCGTAGATTCCTTGGTAACAATTAAGTAACTATTTTATTTTGTCACAAATTAGAAATAAAAGAAAACTGTTCAAATACTCCATTAATAATAGAACAGACTTTGAAAAGATATTTCGAAGATTTTAATAAGATTAAATCTTACTTAACAGTTTAGAATCGGTATAACTTTATAACTAACACCATACTTTTGTTAGTTACTACACCTAAAGGCATTTTTTTATTATAATATTTTAGAATCAGTTTTAATTATCCCTGTAAGTATATAATTTTTATTATGAAATTTAAAACGGCAAAAAAAACTGACGGCCCATTTGATGAAAAGTGGTAATTGTCGCCTATAGATATGAACAGTACCATAGACATAACAAAATATACTGTGTCATTCACGATATCTTTCATCTGTTGCTATTTTTAGGGGCTAAGGTGGTGTGCCTTTATACCCTGTAATTTTAATTGCTATATCTCACCTTTCAAACTGAAATACAGCTGGGGGAAAAGGGATTATTAGTAATGAGGTCTAATAGCCCCATTGTTAGCAATATACTCTCTCAGGTCGACCTCCACGCGTTTCCCCCTGGAAACTATCATGGTTAATTCTTATCGAATTCATCATGGTTGGCCAATTGATTTGTATTCATTCTTACCTATCATTTCCCACTAGTGCCTCGACGGTGTATACCGTTAGCGCTGGCGGGGTTATTATTCCATTTACACCCATTAAAAAAAATTGAAATACAGCTATGCAAACACAACTGCTCTACAGCAGAAACACGAATGGGATAGACACATATTTTCAGACATTCCAAAAATATTTTTGACGATTAGATGAAAAGCAAATGCCTAATAATATTCCCGTCTTTCAAATTATTCGGTCTGTTTTTTCGGATGGACTTTACGTCCTTAGGGTATATAAAATATAAGTAATAACCAGTTACTATCCCAGAGTATTGTAACTTTTATTTTATTCCTGGCGTATTTAATAAATGATCTTGACATCTTTTTATCGAAATGTGTCATTTAAAAATAAAAGAAGGACATAGAAAAAATATTCTTTACTAATATTTTATAAAAGCTAAAGTGAGTTTTCTTATTTGTTTACTAACTTTCACCCGTGTCTTCGTTCATGTGCTTGGGATAAAAGGTTGCTTATAACCTTGTATATTAAAATTCATATTAATTAGTTAAGTTATTAAGGCGTTACAGAGTAACAGAAAAACTTACTTTTACATTATAATATTCATAAGAATTACATCTTGGTACTTGTATCTTGGTATATTTAAGAAGGACTTATAGTCTATTTTTTATTACATATATATAATATATCCCGGTCATAGAGATGAAGTCGCGGGTAAGAACTGCTATTTAATACTATATATATAATCAATCACTATAATATTTTTATTGCAGATATTCGCAATTTATTAATCAATTCTTGTTGTTATTAATGTTAATATTAATATACATAATAAGTAAATATACATAACTAGGATGTCCTGTGCCATGAGAAATCAGGCAACAATTAGGGGGAGAAACCAAATTAATTAGATTCCTGTCAATTTAGGAAAGTTCGTTTTCTAAATTGTCAAGACTGCGAATCGAACTCAGAACTTCATTACGCAAAGCAATACGCTTACTGATGCATCACAAGATCTTTAATGTCATTTTTTTTTTATAGAAACGGCAAGATTGTTTATAAGGATAAATTATAAAGTAGTAAAATATAGTTAAAAAAAACAGATTATAATGTAACTATTATTAATAGGTATCGTCTTCGATTCTAGTCAGTTCGTGTTTATATAGCGAAACGTATTTCACCTTTATATTGTTATTATATACCAGAAATAAATACCAAGGTTTCAGTCACACAAACACTTCCCATTTCCGCGGATAAATCAAAAAATCCTTTATCGGCGGATCTTTATTGTATAGAATCTCAATGTAAAATTTATTCATATTTTACGACCCTATTCATGCGGTGTGTGGTATTGATAGGCAACTAATCAAGTTTTTCTTTTATACTTACTCTTTCTTATCTAATAATTAAATTATATTAATCTTATTAAGAATTGTTACTAGTCCTTATGTCTTATACTTTTATCCAATACAGAAATATATACCTGGAAACATTGCTTTGCCCTGTACTGCCAACTAATAGATTTATATTTTTTTTTTATTAGGATAAACATAATTATTATAATATTTTAAAATAAAATTCACGTTTCCCCTCTTAAAAAGAGAGGAGATGGCAAACTAACCCCTGGCAGAAGCAAAGTTGGCCGGAGATCATATCGGGCTCCAGGGAGAAAAACCGGCGTAGTATTCAGGTATCTAAGAGAATCGCTTTCTGCATCTTTCTGCAAGTGAGTTGCCTTGAGATCTCAACCGTCTGAGATGTTGTTCCAGACTGGTTGGGATAAGGTCGTTTACTAACAAAACGATTAGAATAATTTCAGTATAATTATTATTAATTTTTTATTGCACCAGAAATATAAAATTATTAAACAATTAGAAAATTCAAGTGAAATACAGTAGCATAAAGTACAAATTAAAATGCCATTTTATCGCTAAGACAATCTCTTATAGATAACCTTCGGTCAAAGGAGAACTAACCTGACTCTCAAACAATAGCAAATTTACAAATTTTACTTACTTTAAAATCAGTTAAGTAGTTTCGGAAATTAGCGTAAATAAACGCTGTAACACGCAATATGATGTACACATTTGTACTCATAACTAGTCTGAATATAGGAAATATTTGAAAAAAAAAATTGATATGAGGGATCAAAATAAATAAATCCCAGTCATTAAATTATTCCGATTATGTGAAACAAGTAGTGGGTTAAACCAGTAATCTTATAAATTTTATTTTTAAACTGTGAGTAACTAGTTTATGGGGAAAACATATTAAAATAACACAGTATAGTATTTGTCAACAATTGTTCATACTTCTAATAATATTACTGCAATCAGGGCTGAGCAGTTTTGAATTACTTGTAATTAAAATACAAATACATGGTTGGTATTCGTATTTCAAATACCTAAAATAGATTGAGACAAATTGCTTCATTGAAAAGATTACAGCAATAAACTTATTATAAATATAAAAAAATTACAAGAAAAGATTACATATTAAGAATATAGTTATTTAATAAGCTGTATTTAAATCTCTCTCCATAAGAATTATAGGCTACTGTTAACACACTAGTCAGACAGATTGGTACACCAACTACTTTGGATATTGTCCCTGTGAATTTTGCTATTGTTTTCCAATAGTTGCCTTTTATTTTTGGAAATTATAAAAAATGCTTGATTCTTATCATATTTCTTTATTATTGTATAGAGAACATTTACTACAGTAATTTTACTATAATAATAATTACTGAAAGAGGATAACTACTATGCATCGGTAACTTTAACGAAACATTCATCTTAAAAACTAAATTAAAAAAGTTATCTGTTAGAGATAAACATAACGGTGTATATTTTTTATAGTCAGTTTTATAGTAAAACTTTTATTTCTTACATCTTTACAACAAACTAAGGTTAATTACTACTAGTAATTTATATAACCTTACAAGGTGGAACATAGTAATGGCTACTGCACTCAGTTATTTCTTTAATGAAATAATTTAACATTTTACAATAAATTTACACTAATCTTTTCTATAGAGAAATATTCTTTAATAGACGCTTTGAGAATTTAACAGATAATATATTTTTATATAACTTGGAATGGGAAAGAAACAGGCGATCCAACTGTTAAAAGTAGTAACTTTATATATGTAGATAGGAACAGCACCATAGACATCACATAACAAACTGAGATGCCCATGACAGGACCTCTTATATGTAATGTACTATTGCTAAAAACTACGACGTTATGCTTTTATTCTACGCAATTCATTATTATAAACTACCCTTCACTAAGAAATATTAATAATCAATGATTCTACATTCAGTTTTAGATTGAAGAAGAAAATGTAAAATATATTAGTGGACAAAAAGTTTTAAAGACGATAATAAATCGAAGGTTAACAGCACAAGCTAGTAGGGAACTGTTTGCTTCTTGTTTTATCAAATAGAATATCAAATCACAAGAAATATCTTCATAACACGTAAGGAAAGAAGGTTGTATTAAAGTGACGGCACCTATGGATTTTATTGTATGTCATTAGATGTTATTGCATTATGTAAATATTCCTTTGTATGCAAGTGGAAATCTATTTATTCGCGTGTCGCAATATGTACTCGAGACCGGACTCGACTGGTTTTCAGTGGTTAGACATCGTTTCTTGCAATAGTCACGACGTGCATTTAAAAAATGATATTGCGTTGCCCAAGATGCTTCTAATGCTACAATTAGGTTATTTTAGAAGTGAGAAAATTAAACTCTAATATCTGATGTGAACATAACTAATTAACAAATAATGCCTTATTGACTATGCCTTATTATATATATGCCTTATTGCTATATGACAAAAGTATTTCTTTCAGATAAAACAGAAATACCACTCATACATTGACTAAATAAGAAAATAAAAAAAAAAATTGTATATAAAAATGATTTTTTAGCAGTTAAATTCTTTTTAGATTATATCCAAATTTGGTTTTTCGATTTATCCTGACTACATTTTTTTTTGTGTGGATTACAAAAATTTTGGGAATTCCCCTAGGAATAGAAGAAAACTGAGGCGGGCTACACTTTTTTATTTGGCTTTTTATAGCTTATTTGTTTAATTATTGTATGTTGTTTGCTTATATACTTACAATTTATATTTAATTCTAACTTCAACGTTTAAATTATTTAGTTTTTCAATAAATATAGACATAAACTTACCGTTGTTAATGTACTGGAACGTGATGGCTAGCAGTAAAACAAATAACACTTTTTAGCACACAATCCGATCAAGGGAGAAGTCTAAGACCGTAGTATTTCCGCCTTTCTGAATTCGTCGATGAGTTCGAACATGATGAGCTGTTACTATTTTTTCTTGAGAGATTAGTTTTATTTCTTATTGGTTTCGAGTCTTTAAATAAACGGTCCAAGACTTGTCTAATCGTCGAATGTTTTCTGTCGAAAGGATTCGGATACATTTTTGGTTTTTTGTCAGCGCTCCGTTTGGTTCGTGCGCGCTTAATAGTAGTTCTTGCGTGAGTGAATACGCTTGCCAGTGGGCATCGAAACTTGCAAAACTCAAGGGTCAAGTTCATTGTCGACGCCGCGCCGTGTCTTGTTTCTACATTATGAAGGTTTGGTAAGATTTTTATTGACAACTTCGATGGTAGGTAGGTATTTGTGAAATTACACGTTGTGTTTATTTCCTAAGTCGTTTGATGTTATTTTGTTTTAATTTTATTACTCATTATGTAATAGGTTTTGTAAACTTATAAGAAAGTATGTTGATTTAATATTGATTACGATTGGTTTCGTATACAGTTTCATTCTAAATGAGTGGAAACTCTGTATCCATGTGGTCAGCACGGACAAGTCTAGAAAATGTCGTAACGTTTATTGGATTCGTCTACTATCTATACATCTTGTTTTATTAACTTTCTTTTAACTAGTGTATATGTTTAAGGTTTTAAAAATGCATTGAATGGCGAAATCAATCAGGTATTTATTACAATTATTTGTGGAAGAGAAAATACTTGTAGTACTTTTCTAATAAAATCTTATTGGAGTCATTCAGTAGACTTTCTTTGGACAATGTATTACCTTAGATATAACAAGGAAACAATGTTGCTAGCAGCTTACTGCTACTTTAATATGAATACAGTATTTTTATTAGGTTATTGTTTCAAAATTATAATAATAACATTATTAGAAATATTATTGTTAGTAAATAAATTTACTAAAAATGTAGACTTTTTATATTTTCTTTAAATATAATCGTTATATAGGAATGTAAATTTGGATCCTTTGTATAACGTAAATTTAATTTACAGCTGTTTGAAATAACTTTCTAAAATGGATTATAAATATTATAATCATATATATTCATATTATAATTACATTGTATACCTATGTAACAAAAGTAATGACACAGCCCCTAGTTAATTTAATAAATTATTATTATAACTTGTTCTCAAGTTGTATATAACCGTGTCAATAAAAACATTTTTAATGGCACATTGATATTAGTTAGAGACCATTAAATGGTAACTTAAGATAAAAAGCCACCTAAATTTTAACTGTCGCAATTTCTTTTAGGTTAATTGTTGGGGTTATCATCGTAACTAGGCAGTAAGCAAGTTTCATGCCCTATTTATGACCAATAATTGTAAAGTTTTATATGCATAATTTATGGATTCTTTACTATGTATCTATTTTTATAAGACTTGAAATAAAAAAATCATGGTGACTTCCGTAGAGTAATTGGAATATTGCTTTGCATCAATAAAATTTGCTGACTCGATTCACGGTCAAGCCAATTTGGACAACTACTTCCTATTTTAAATTGCATAAAAGGTTCTACTAATATTTTGAATGTGATATTTCGTAAATATTTATTTATTTATAGCAAGGCAACAGATTACAAATTAATACATTTATAAAATAGTTTTTTTATATTGTAATATTTATTTTATATTTAAAATAAATATAAAATAAATATTACATACAACATTCGATATTATATACATTAAAAGAATAATTGCTATAAAATTAAAGTAACAAATTGACAGCCTTAATGTAACATTGCAAGGATTGTCCGGAATACATTATTATATTTTCATTATACATACATTATTATATTTTCTGCACATGTTGGGATGTTTTTCATGATGATGTTTAGTTGGTACGATAACAAATGTTTATATGTTACAGTAACCGTTTACCATCAGACGGGTTGTATGCTTGTTTGACACCTTCGTGACATAAAAAAAAACAAACAGATAAATATCTTGACACACATTTGACATTTACGATATTAATAGGATTAGGTGTTACTCCAAATTTATAGTATGGATATTTATTTAATAAAAAAGTTATTCGCAAAGATTTTGATAAAGACTAAATTGATATTAATATGTAATTTATTATTTAAAGCCATTTTCAAAACAAGGGACGTTTGCAATTCGTTTGAAATGTTTCTTTTAGTGATTGTTCCTTGATAATTCTGGACTGATTTAGATAATTATTATTGCAAATGACAGCATCCATTGAATTGAAGTTGTTGCTTTTCTTTGCAGAGTAAAACAAATGCAGTTTTATATTTTGAAAACTACGTGACAGGTGACCTGGCATTCTAAATTTACGACATTCTATATTTTCAATTTACGACACAACCTGTTGTTTATTAGCATATTTTATCATATTAGTTTTTTTGAAAATACAAACAAATTTTAAGTACTCTTGGAAATTTATTAATATAAACCTACGTGGTTTCTGAATGCTAATGTAACATAATTTCTATAACTTTGTATTTTTTGTGAAAATAAAAAAAAAAACTGAAAAATAGAAAACAAAGAAAGGGTGACTGTCGAATAAAAAATTAGACACCATTAATCTACGAGGTAGATACTGATAGATATCTAAAATATATTGACGTTACATAATATTGTTACGGTAACATATAATCTTAGATATAATATTAATTGACAAAAAAGTATATTTTTTTCTCTCTTTTTATTCGTTATCACAAAAAAAGAAATACGTCAATCGATACTTTTTGTAGCAAATGGAATAATTTGTTTTTACGTAAACTTAAAAAAATCACGCACAGTGCAGTTTCAGAGGAGTTTCCTTTCGCCAATATTGAGACTAGAGTATGGAGTTTTACAAAAAGTATGTAATAAGATTTCTTAAGGGTCGATAACGTGACGCTCCTTATTTTCCAGTACTCTCCAGGTGTCCACAGACTATGAAAGTCGTTTACTAAAGGGCTGTGTGTATTGCAACCATTGTATAAAAACAAATAAAGAAAATTACTATACAACGCTAAGTCAAAAAGCTGTTAAACGCCGCATCTACGTAAAAAGCTGGCATCTCATGTCAATATCAGTTTGGAAATATTCGATTTCGCTTTCTTCTAATATTACATTTATTTGAGGATATTACCTCTACAGCTGTCAATTGCCTTACTTCCTGCTTCGATGGTACCGTACTGTTATCATTCAGTTTATTATCTAAGGTTATCAAGAGTTCTGCCATCGATCTGTTAAATAGATGTTAAATTATTGTTACGTTAATAATTTTAATTGGCAGTTGTAGTAGGTATAATATTTTTATTCGCGTTCGGATAGTTATCTAAGGTCATAGAACTATCTGCTATCATTGTTTCAATTGGCAGTAGATCTAGAATTCTCTAGTATAAATCTAGCTACTTATTTGTATAATTTATGCTTAAACTATATGTAAAATATATAAAAATAACAATAAAAGACCGCCGCGCGCTTGCATATAATAAATATTCAAACTCTGGCGTGAATTTACTGGGTACAGAGGAATAACACCTGAGTCCTCGGGAATGGGAACGCATAGGGGGTATCATGGAGCGAAACATTCTGTATACATCTGTTATGTCCATGGTATTGCCATGCATGTCTATAAAAAAAAAATAAGGCGACGGTTATAAAACCAAAAATATAATTCTTTACATCAGGTGCGCCGTCAGTGCTTGTTTGCCATTCTAAGTTGTATCTCTCAAAAAAATCTTCGACCAAAAGACTTTTCCTAGTACTTTTATCGTAAGGTATATGGAATAGTATTTCCCTTATGTATATATATATATATATATATATATATATATATATATCCTTTAAACGTAGTGTGTAAAAGCACATAGTGAGCCGCCATAGTGCGCCCAACCATTGAGAGTAGAACATTCTCTTTGGTTGATTACATTCATGGCCCACGTTGTCTCTGTATTTGTTTATGATTTTGCGGTTCCATGCTGTGCTATTTAAAAAAAAAAAATAAGAAGAAATTTCGATAAAATTAAAAATATAATTCATTGACAAAACATTTAGAGATTATCTTAGAATACCGCAGTGCTTGATATAATGCTCCAAAGACTTTTCGTAAGTTGATCGGGATTTGCTCATAAAAGTAAATCTCTCAATGTAAGTTTTAAATCTTCGACCAATTCAAAGACTTTTCCTAGAAGTATAACTTTTATCTCGAGAAGAGAAAAAGTATCTATATTAGGAAAATTTACGTACAATGTCGCTTTTGTATGATATTGCACTGGAAGGTATTATATAAAATCCACGAATTGTAATTTAGACATTTTCGTTGGATATTTTTACTTTTGAGAATTAACTTTTGATATAGGTTATATAGAGAAAGCGTTTCCATACAAATGCTTTATTAGAAACAGGTAAACTTTATTATTTATGTGTGTGGGAATAGGATTACCAGTATGTACGAGTACATTGACTATTCTATATATGGGAGAAATTAAATTGTAAAAGAATATATATATATATATATATATATATATATATATATATATATATATATATATATATATAGATATTATTACATATTCTTTATTCTTTTTTTTTTTTATTGTACACAAAAATATATAAATACTTTGGTTATTGAAATGTAATAATATGTATTTATATGTAATAATATCAGAAGAAACGGATCTGAATTCAAATTTAAAAAATTAAATTGTTCTGGGAAATTTGTAATTTAATTACTTGCAACAATGAAAAAATACTTTGTTTTGTTCCGATTTGTTTTTTGGTTCTGTTTTCCCTTTTCCTCATCATTAGAAAGGTAAAAGGAATAAGCTTATTCAGCTGTTGATTAAAACAAAATATGTGGCAAATTAAGACTGCCAAATGTTAGTTTAACTGACTAAATATGACACATTTTTGTTACTCAATGCTGTATCTATATAATCTAAGCTTCTTGATAAAATTGATGTTTATAATCTTCCGTTAGTACTCTTTGAAGATTTAATGGGACGAGGCAAATCAGTTATGACTACCATCATCCTTTGAATACTTTACTATAATTTAAGTCATAATTTTCACATAATAGTTTTTTTTTTCCCACTATATTATTTTTAGTGATTTGGTAAACTAAGTTTTTATTTAATTTACATTCTTTTTTTAATTATTTTCATTTATTTTCTACACAAAAAAGGAGTAGGTTCTCTATTCGTTTGTATTTTTTCACGTTTGTTACCTCATATCGCCATCAGTTATAAACCGATATCGAAAATTCGTTTTTATTTGAAAGAATATATTTTCACATAAGTCTTATAGAAATTTTATCAAAGTCGATCTAGTAGATTAGTTTATAAATCTAAATAACCGGTTTTGCTACAACTGAAGTCGTTTTTATTGTGGAATACAATCTTAAATGACAATTTATTACATAACATTTATTTAATTTATTTAAATTTATTTACAATTTAGCTATTACTTGTCGGCCTTGAAGGCAAGTATTCTTATAGCCAGTTTGTTTCGTTGTTGTGAGTCTGTTGTAAAATAATTAAAATTAAAGGAATTTGTTGTTGTTAAAAATTATTGTTTACTAGCTGTTTCCTGCATGTTTGTTCTCTCCAATATATGTTTAATTAAGTTATTACTTGCTTATGTACGAAATTTCACTAAAAACCTTAGTTGTTTACTGAGTAACAAACATCCTTACAAACTTTTACATTTATAATATTACTAGGATTTTATTCCAGGTAACTGATTAAATGTATCAAGTTCGAGCATAAATTCTTAAGTCGAAAAGTTCTAGGTAGTAACAACTTGAATGTTGCCAGC